TCGTTCTGTGCTCCAAGCGCTGCTCTCGACACAAGGCCAGCATGGCCTTGTTGTCTACGTACAGCACTGGAGGAGAACGAGGCGGCTCTCCAAGGTCGGTCAGCAGGTAGGTGAGCCAGCGAAGCTCCTGTGCAGCCATGGCCCCGGCGTAGATCTCAGCCTCACAACTGGAGCCGAGAACTGAAGACGAGCGAGTAGACCGCCACGAGACAGAACCGGAACCAAGGCTGAAGGTGTAACCCTGTGACGACCGCTGCGTAGCCTGGTCGTCAGCCCAAGAAGCGTCCGCGTGGCCGGTAAGGACCACTGGACTCCGCCCTCCAAGCACTAGCCCCATGCCCGACGTACTGCACAGGTAGCGCAATACCCTCTTCGCTGCAGCCATGTGCTCCGGTCTGTGTCTCCCAGGAGCAACATAGCGTGCAAGAATGCTCAGAGGGTATGCAAGGTCAGGTCGTGTGCAGGTCATCAGGTACATGAGGCAGCCAACAAGCTCTGCATACGGACCACTCGACTCTACGGACTCATCCGAAGGCAGAGCTGAGAGTGAGTGGCGAGTAGGCAGAGGAGTGGCCTGAGGCGAGGAGTACGTGAAGCCGAAGCGCTGAAGGACCTGCTGCACCATGTGTGACTGAGTCAGGGTAATGGTGCGACGTGCTCTGTCCCGAGTGATCTGCAAGCCAAGGTAGCTGCGCAGTTCACCCAGGTCTGTGCACGTGTGTCTCTTCAGCAGCTCGGACTTCACGTAGGCGAGTCCAGCAGTGTCCGCTGTGGCAAAGACCAAGTCGTCGACGTACACGAGGATGTAGAACGGCGGCAGGGAAGTGTCGGTGCGAAGAAACAGCGACGGGTCAGCAGTAGAAGGAGCAAACCCAAGAGCCGCAAGCGTAGTCCTCAGTGTGTCGTGCCACTCACGCGGTGCCTGGCGGAGACCGTAGACTGGCCGTCGGAGGCTCCACTGGGTGCCAGGAGGGAAAGTCCCAGTGAAGCCAGGCGGACGGCGCAGCCAGATCTCCTCGTGCAGGCTACCCTGCAGGAACGCAGTGCTGAAGTCGAGAGAGTGAAGCTCGTAGTCGCGCTGAGCGGCAATGTGCAGCAGCACCCGAAGAGTGGTCATCTTCGGGGTGGGAGAGAAGGTCTGAAAGTAGTCAACTCCCTGCCGCTGACTGAAGCCACGAGCCACGTAACGCGCCTTGAAGACAGGCGGGGAGCCCGGCGGCCGCTTCACCCTGAAGATCCACATGCCACTGACGATGTTCGCCCCAGGAGGGGGAACCGCGTCAACGTAGGTGCCTGTGGACTTCCAGGAAGCCATCTCTGCATCCATAGCTGCCTGCCACTGAGAGGAGTAGGGACCCTCTACGGCCTCCGCGTAAGAACGCGGAGTCGGGATGTCTAGTGCATCCGGGTCTCCCTCAGGGGCAAGCAGTACAGACGCGAGATGAGGTGAAGCAGCCGCTAGACACTGTAACTCCTCCTGCCTGTCCTCTAGGACGTCCGTGCCAAGGGCACACTCACCCCCGACGGACGGAGGACAGGCGGACTCAGACTCAGCGACAAGACGAGCAGCGTAGTCTAGACGACAGCGCGCAGCAAAGTCGACAAGCTCAGTGACAAGGGCAGACGCAGCAGACGACTCGAAGGAAGGGTCAGTGACAGCAGTAGCAAGGAGACGCGTGACAGTAGGACTGGCAGCACGAAGAGAGTCCGACTCCGGGTCGGCAAGAGCAGGAAGAGAGGAAGGAGGAGGAGAAGGCAAAGGGGCACGCAGAGGAGCAGTGGACGGACGCAGTGACATCCGGTGCGTGCCAGGGACAGGAGGAGGACGCTGACGCGACCCGCGACCACTAGCGCGCTCAGTACGAACAGGCGACGCAGGACGAGACGCAGGCTCACGACGCTCAGTAAGACCTCCAGTCGGACCAGCGTAGGGAGAAGGAGCAGGCAAAGGGGAGGCAGGCTGTAGCTGTGGCTGTGACCGAACAGGCTGTGGACCCTCTAAGGGAGCAGGAGGAGGTGCAAGACTAAGAACCTGCTGCAGGAGCGGAACGAAGTACGGTCGGGGCCGCACGGCGACACCAGAAACAGCAGGAACAGCACCAGCCCCCCCGTCAGGAGCACCCACGCCAGCAGCACCTCCAGCAGCACCTCCAGAAGCTCCAGAACCCCCAGTAGCAGCACCAGGAGCACTGTCAGTCGGACCACCAGCGGCAGGCTCAGCGCCAACACCCTCAGCAGCACCAGCTCCAGGAGAACCCTCAGACCGAGCAGCTCCAGCACCCACAGTACGAGCACCGTCGGGACGCGCGGCAGCAGTACCTACTGCAGGCGAAGAACCACCAGCACCAGCAGCACGCCTCCAGCGCCTGGTAAACCACTCACGCAGCTCCTGTGGGGAGAGTGGCTCCCGGCGAGACGAAGCACCCCCAGGCACAGTACCCCCAGGCTCAGCACCCCCAGGCTCAGCACCCCCAGGCTCAGCACCCCCAGGCTCAGCACCCCTAGGCTCAGCACCCCCAGGCTCAGCACCCCCAGGCTCAGCACCCCCAGGCACAGCACCCCCAGGCTCAGCACCCCCAGACTCAGCACCCCCAGGCACAGCACCCCCAGGCTCAGCACCCCCAGACTCCGCACCTCCAGGCTCAGCTCCCGCAGCAGCACCAGAGTCACCAGTGACCTCGACAGGCTCGACCGCGTCTACCTGGGACACACCTGAAGGGGCAGGACCCTGAGGGGGGAGGGGGACTACCGGGGGGGGACCTGGTACCAAGAAGAGCGGGGGAGGGGGGAGGGACGGAGTGCGGTAGGGGAAGAGGCGGTAGTAGGGTACCGACTCGTCGAACGTGACGTCCTGGGAGGACAGAACACGTCGAGAGGTGGGGTGGTAAAACTGCCACCCAGGGGCGTCGGGGGGGAACCCCAGGAAGACGCAGGGAGAAGCACGAGGGGACAGCTTGTCCGCAGTCAGGTCGCGAACAAACGCCCGAGATCCCCAGACCCGGAACGCCGACGCATCGCCAACCTTCCCCGTCCACAGCAGGGCTGGGGAGGTCTCCGGTCGAGAGACCCTGGGGTGGAGGTTGATCTGGTGCGCAGCGTACCTGACCGCAAACGGCCACAGAAAATGGGGAGCAGCCGCATGCATCATGGACGTACGAGCGACGTCCATGACCATGCCAATGCGGCGCTCAGCAATCCCATTCTGCTGTGGTGAGTCCGGAAGCGTGAAGGTCTGACGGATGCCTCGCGCACGACAGTAGGCACTCAGGAGGCCAGAGGAGAACTCTCCGCCTCTGTCCGAGTGCAGACGCAAAACAGGGAAGTCAGAGCCAAAGCTCCTCCGAAGCTGGAGACGAGCTGCGCGGATCCAGTCGATCAACACCGCAGTGACCTCACCCTTGCTGCGCAAAGGGAAGACTGTGGTGTAACGCGAGTAGTCGTCAACCACCAGCAGGAAGTAGCGCTCCTGACCCTGTCCACGGACGCGGGCTGGGCCCCACACGTCCATGTGAAGCGTCTGCAACGGGGCCTCTGTCGGAGGAAACTGGGAGGAGTGAGGGGCAGCACGCTGGCGCCCCTCGACACAGGGGACACAGGCAGGGCCAGGGCCCGGAGGAAAGGGAGGGAGGGACTGGGGAAGACCAGACACAAGTACCCGCGAGGCCATGCCTCTGAGCCGGAGCAGAGAGGGGTGGCCAAGGCGGTGGTGCCAGAGGAGGGTCTCGTGAGACAGACGACGACACGAACAGGGGGCAGACTCAGGACCAGACCTGGACGCTGCAGCAAACACCTGACCAGACGAGGGGACCCTACCAGACGCAGTACCTGGAGGAGAAGCAGTGGTCAGTGTGTACAGGCTCGACCCTGGCCGACGTGTAAACGTAGCCAGGTGACGACCTGTATCCGCCTCCGTACAGTGGGTCACCCGCTGACGAGCAGGGGTGAACTGGTGGACACCTGCATCCTGGAGGTCAGCACCACTCACCAAGTTCGTCGAGAACGAGGGGAGGTAGAGACCAGTCAGGGTGCCAGAGGGGGCCGCCGGACACGGGAGGACAGTGGAGAAGCGAGACAGGACAGGTCCCCCAGAGGGGTCAGCCAGGGACACCGCAACCGGTCGACTCAGCGGCGTGAGAGTGGTGCGGTCCCTAAAGAAGGAGCGAGACGCTCCAGAGTCAAGGGTGAAGGTGTGAGAGGCCGAAGCCGACACAGTACCTGAGAGGGCGGACTCACCAGCACCTGAGAGCACAGACGTACTGGCACCTAGAGCAGCAGCCTCACTAGTACCTGACGCGGCAGTACCAATGCCCGGGTCGGGCGGGAAACACCGGTAACAGTCATCCTCATCACTACCAGTCACAGCATACATAGCAAACTGTATCACCGGTAACAGTCATCCTCTGATACCATGTGAAACTAACAGAACAGGAATGAATTGACTAAGTCAGAGTTGGGTACAAATACAACCCTAGCAAACTGTACCCCATATGTGCTACCCCACTATAGCCTACAAACATGCATCAGCCATAATAATCTGACATTGTTCAATCCTGGATGCAAGTACATCACATGTTCAACATAAAGGCAACGCAAAAATAAGTACCCAGCATGGTAAACTAGTGAAGCACCAATTGATCATTCCTGGATGCAAATACATTACCGTACATGTTCAACATCAAGGCAACACAAAAATAAGAACCCAGCAATGTCTGTCGTAGAGCGAATTGAAGGCTAGTCTAATTTGCCATCCCCGTCTAATCGTCAAAGCAAGGCACTCCCCCTTGCAGCAGCAAACAACCCGCTGTCCAAATAAAATGGTGTACAAACAGAGGGCAACTGTGCACTGTAACCCTTTTCATGGAACCACCACGTGATATGGTGCTGCAGATTCCCACCAACCGTGAGCACGCCTGCACTCCTCTTCATTTATGTGCACCAAGCGACTCTGAAGTGCCTTAAACAAATCCATGGCTGTCGTATTGCATCGTCCAATCACCACCTCATCTTCTGACGCGCATGGCAGCCAGTCCGTCTGTGGTGCGCGCACCCAGCACTTGCACAGAGTCCCCCACAATCTCCAGAACCTATGGGCGGGTAGAGGGGGCAACAGGAAGGGGAAGGACCTGAATGCTGAGAAAAAAACAGAAGAAAAGCATGCAAGCTGTAAAAAGGAAGGCCATGAGGGATGCCAGGAGATTGGCAATTTAAAGTGGGTGTGGGGTGCAGACGATGATGTGGGATGCAGGTGATGATGTGTAATGCAAATGCATGGAGGAGGGTGCATACCTGGGGTGGGGCGTTGAGCATGCCTGATGACATGCCCACGTCGATGCGCCACACTCTACCCCCACACTCCCTACACGCACGAGAGGCGGGCGAGAAGACGAGGCAGCAAGGAAGGGATGGATATGACAGGTTAACATGCTGCACTAGTGTCAATCCGCTGGGACTCGCTTCAAAGAAAGCGTACACATGCAGCAGGTGGGTGACCCACCCACTCTTCAGAATAGAGAGTACAGACGTGTGGAAATAGACAAGCAACTACTCACCCGTTAGCCCCGCCCACTTGCGGTGTGTGCCCCACAACCAGTCTCTTTGCCCCCACTGCGTCCAGCGAAGCAGCCAGCACAGTGCAGATCTGCGTGGGCACGGGACGAGTGGATGGGGCATACTTGAGGTGACTTTGTGAGTTGACTCAGAAGCTGCCCCACAACAAGCCTCTTTGCCCCCACTGTGTCCAGCGAAGCAGCCAGCACAGTGCAGATCTGCGTGGGCGCGGGAAGCGGGAATGGGGCACGGTTGAGGCGGTAAGAAATAGACAGAATGGTGCACTGCACTTAGTGCATGTGAGGACAGGATCTATGCCATGTTGTGCTCGTCCTCACTTTGCTTCTACATGTCTGCACTGCACCTCACTTGGTACCAGTTTTCACATCGCTTTAAACCCATCCTCACCTTGTATTTGTCCTCTCCAGACCCCAGGTATTCCTGTGAGTACAATCGAGTCCACACCACACTGTTGAAGCCTCTTGCCACTCTTGCACTTTGCTCTCACCTGCTTCTCCCAGCCTCATAGCACCCTGCACTCACTCACCGTTCACCCATCCTCACCTTGTACTTATCCTCGAGTATTCCTGCGAGTACAGCCAAGCCCACACCTCACTGTTGAAGCCCCGCGTCACAACACAATGAAGCATCGGGCTGCACCCATTCCGAGCGCTTCAACACCATGCACCCATCCTCACCTTGTACTTGCCCTCACATCACTTTGAACCCATCCTCACCTTGTACTTGTCCTCGCCAGACCCCAGGTATTCCTGAGAGTACAGCCGAGTCCACACCACACTGTTATAGCCCCTCGTCACGATGAACGGCATCGGGGTGCGCCCCCCCTCGCCCCACACCTCCTCGCCGCGCATCCACTGCGACAGCTCCCGGTTCATGCGAGGCAGGCCGTATTCCACTGGAGGGGGGAGGAGGGGGGAGGAGGGGGGAGGAGAGGGGAGGAGGGGGGAGGAGGGGGGAGGAGGGGGGAGGAGGGGGGGAGGAGGGGGGAGGAGGGGGAGGGTAGCAGGTGGAAAGGCAGAGAAAGGGAGATGTAAGCATGCGACTCTATCCCCTTTCGCTGCACACCTCCTCGCCGCGCATCCACTGCGACAGCTCGCGGCTCATGCGCGGTAAACCATACTCCAATGGAGGGGGGGTTGGTGGGAAGTAGGAGAAAGCGGTTCATGCGCCGTGCGACAGCCCATACACCACTGGAGGGGGCCGGGGGGCGGGGAGGAGAAGGGGGGTCAGAAGGAGGAGAGAGCGAGGTAGAGGGAAGTCTATACCCGTAACCCATCCATACAGTACGGATGGGTACTGTGCAGTGGATGAGTCTAGAAGGGGGGTTAGAAGAGGTACCGGCAACATTAAATTGCTAACTTGCCTTGGTGTGAAGATGTGGGCTTTAATTGCTAAACGGACAAAACGGCGTGTTCCTCTGTAGCCCCTCCCCGTACAAGTGCTGCAGCCCCATACCATCCCTTGCCAGTTGAGAGGTGACTTATAAGTCGACTCAAAACTCACCTCGGACAAAACGGGTGTGTTGCTCTGTAGCCCCTCCCCATACAAGACAAGTGCAGCCCCATCCCATCCCTTGCCAGTTGAGAGGTGTTCCTCCCCATACAAGTTCTGTCCATGTAGCCCCTCCCCATACAAGTGCAGCCCCATCCCATCCCTTGCCAGTTTACCTCAGCGCCGTTAATCGGCTTCTCATGCTGCTAACTCGCCGCACAATGAACCCAAATTCCTCTCACCATGGTGAGGCAGGATGCCCCCGTGTGCAAACAGGGTGGCGTTGACCATCAGAGCAGCATTGTTCCTCGCCAGCTCTGCTGCCACACTAACGACCATCCACATCCACATGCACATCACCACACCACACCGCACCGCACTCCACTCACCATGGTGAGGCAGGATGCCCCCGTGTGCAAACAGGGTGTCGTTGACCATGAGAGCAGCATTGTTCCGCGCCAGCTCTGCTGCCATCGGCCCGCCCACCTCAAACAGCTCGTGCCGCTCCCGCACCTGCCGCTGGCCCTGCAAGAAAAGCAGGAGCATGAGTGGGAAGAGGGGGGCGGGAGGGGGGTAGAGAAAAGGTTAAGCAGCATATCAAACACCTCTGCTGCCATCGGCCCGCCCACCTCAAACAGCTCGTGCCGCTCCCGCACCTGCCGCTGACCCTGCAGGGAAACGAAAGGGGGTGGAGGAGGAAAGGCAGGGTTAGGTCTCACATAGCCCACCTCGAGCAGCTCATGCCATTCCCGCACCTGCCGCTGTCCCTGTAGGAATGAAAGGCATGAGTGGAGCAAAGGGGGTGGGTGGTGGAGCAAAGGGGGTGGGGGGTGGAGGAAAGGCAGGGTTAGGTCTCACCTCACATAGCCCACCTCAAACAGCTCGTGCTGCTCCTGCAGCTGCCACCTTCCTTGGAATGAAAAGGGGGAGGGAGGAGGATGGGGGGAGGGGGTGGTGGGGGTGGGGGAGGAGGGGTGAGAAGGCAGTGGGTAAGTGTAAGTGCCATGTGCGGTTTTAAGGCGGGGAGAGAATGGCGCTCCTGAGACGCCACATCCATCCACAAGTCTTCCCAACTGACTGGGGTTCCATCCATTCCATGGGCTGGGCCCCGCCGCCTCCTCTTAGATGCCTTGAGCTCCTGGGACGCCTGCCGGCCACCTCACGCAGAACGCCCAGTCCCAGTCGCCACCACACCCCTCCCTTACACAACACACCTCTCTACCTCAGTCCTTTTGAGGCGCCTCAAAACTCTACCTCAGTCCTTTTGAGGCGCCTCAAAACTCTACCTCAGTCCTTTTGAGGCGCCTCAAAACTCTACCTCAGTCCGCCTTGATCCCACATCCTCACACACCCTCATTCCCACCTGAATTGGGTTCCATCCGTTCCACGGCCCTCTCCGTCTCCTCTTAGTCGCCTTCAGCTGCTGGGATGCCTGCCACCGCACCCTGACCACACTCTCCCAGTCGGCCCCACCGCCTTCTCATACGAAAGCCACACACAATCCTCCCACCTGAATGGGGTTCCATCCGTTCCACGGCCCTCTCCGCCTCCTCTTGGACGCCTTCAGCTCCTGAGACGCCTGCCAGTCGGGTACATGTTCCACCCCACCCTAAACGGACTCTCCCAGTCACCCCCACCACACCCCCAGTCTACTAAACACCCCGCACGCCCTCCCTCGTACCTGAATGGGGTTCCATCCGTTCCACGGCCCCTTTCGACGCCTCTTAGACGCCTTGAGCTGCTGGGAGGCCTGCCACCACACGCGGAACGCGCTGTCCCAGTCGCCGCCGCACTCGGAGAGGCAGAAGGAGTAGAAGTCCTCACTCTCCTCGAAGCCCCCGTCCGACACGTACCGAAACTCCTCTGCGACGTTCATCGTTTCATGGTTACCGTTCAACTGGTGTGGGGGGGGGGGGGGGGGGGGGGGGGGAGGAGGGTGGAAGGAGGGGTGAGGGGAGAGCAGGGAGGGAGGGAGGTGAGTAGAAGTCCTCGCTCTCCTCGAAGCCCCCGTCCGACACGTACCGAAACTCCTCTGCGACGTTCGTCGTCTCGTGATTGCCGTTCAGCTGGTGGGAAGTGGGAGAGGGGGGGGGGGAGAGGGGGGAGGGGGGGAGTAGTGAGTGGATGGGAAGGGAGGGGAAGCGGTGAGAGTGTTAAAGTAACTTGCAGTCATTGGTGCGTTTTCTAAAGGATGTGGTGGTGATAAGATATTGTTCCACTTCATCACACTCATTCGTGCACACCACACCACCACACATGGTATTTTTTCCCTCACGAATCAATCTGGCAGCTTCTTCTCCCACGCCATGTTTTTGTTTGTCTTGCGTTCACTATTTTTTGTTTCAGCCGCCACAGTGACGCCCACTCCCTTCACACGACCCCTCTAACTATGAGCATCTTCCCCCTAGCACACACCCGACTTCTCTATATATCACCACCCTCCACTGTTTTTCACCAAGAGCACGCCTCCCCATTCCCGCTGCCCCAGTCGGTCCACGTATCTGAGCAATGAGAGAATGGAAATCTCATCATCATCACAACAGTCACGATTTGTCCAACCAACCAACCCTAAACCCACACACCCTGCTCCTCGACTCACCATGAGTACGCCTCCCCCTTCCCGCTGTGCCAGCCGGTCCAGGTGCCTGAGCAATGAGAGAATGGCAATCTCATCGTCACCACGGTCCAGCACGTCTCCCACCTGGACAAGCACCTGGAGGGGAGCAAGAGGAGCAACGGAAGCAAAGGGAGGCAAGCGGGGCAAGGGATGAAAGGGTCAAGATGGATGGCCTGACTGAGCCTGAGCAGCGAGAGAAGACTTTTGAGGCGCCTCAAAACAAGATGGATGGCCTGAATGAGCCTGAGCAGCGGGAGAAAGGCAATCTCGTCATCGCCACGGTTCAACACGTCTCCCACGTGAACCAGCACCTGTTGGCTGGCAGCAAGGGGAGCGAAGGGAAGGTGAGGGGATTAAGGGGCACAAAGAGGGGACGAGTCGCAGGAATCCAGGTGTCTGAGCGGCGAGAAAATCCGGCGAAGAAGGATGCTCAGGTGGAGCAGATGAGCGCTGAGCTGGAGCAGATGAGCGCTGAGCTGGAGCAAATGAGCGCTCGGCTGGAACAATTGAACGCTCAGCTGAAACAGATGAGCGCTAAGCTGGTGGAGCTGAGTGCTCAGCTGGCGGAGAAGGATGCGCCCCTTCTCCGCCAATTGCGCGTCCCTCCTCGCCAGGTAGTCATCTTCTCCACCAGCTCATCACTCATCTTCTCCAGCTGAGCGCTCATCTGCACCAGCAGAGCGCTCATTTGCGCCATCTGAGCATCCTTCTCCGCCAGCTGCGCATCTTTCTCCTCCGGCGAATACGATCTAATCATCGTCCAACACGTCTCCCGCCTTAACCAGCATATGAGGGCACAATGCACGCAAAGGATGGGACAAGGGGTGACGAAAGGGACAAGGCGCGCAAGGGGCCCAAGGCGCGCAAGGGGCGCAAGGGGCAACGCGTACAAGGGGTCAACATAGCAGTGGGTTTGTGAGGCAAACGGATAGTAAGAAGCTAATCCAGACTATAATTAGTAGAGAGGCGGGCCTGGGAGTGGAGTGGACGATTGACGAGCTCAAGATGAAAAAGCCAACGGGGAGATTTGAGTGAGGCTTTGATCCAAGATAATTCCGACAATATCAGCAACCGTGGGCATGTTTGAAACGCCTCCGAACTCGACCCCTTTTCCTTCGGTTATAATCTAGTCTTGCAACGTCTCAATTCATGAAGTCAAACCCATGCAATTGCTGTGACATCAGGTCCAATCCTCAACTCATCCTTGTGTGGTAGAGATCGTTTCACAACTTTACCTCCAATCTTGTGTTACTCTAATTCCTTCACACACTCAAACCCGTTCCATTCTCAACCCACATCTCAGACCCCTCCCTCCGCCTCACTAATCACGCACGGACAACCCAGCAACAGCCCATCCCTCAACTCATCGACTTACCGTGGACCCGCCCGTCCACACCTCGTCGTAGCTCTCGCTGTTTTTCTCGTTCAGCACGCCCGCTAACCAACCAAGCGGTCCATACCCTACCTCCCTCACTTATCCCTCTTTCCCCATCTCCCCTTCGCCCCCCATCGCCTCACCGTGGATCCGCCCGTCCACATCTCGTCGTCGCTCACGCCGTCCTTCTCGTTCAGCACGCCCGCCACGCGCAGCGCCGCCAGGGTCTGATCCCAGTCGCCGTGCACGTCGCCGACTGAGGTGCCGCGGGGGAGGTGGGGGGAGAGGGGGGGTTGGGAGGAAGAGGAGAGTGAGGGAGGAGCGAAAACTTCTCAATCAAAGTGGCCGTTACGGTCTGATTCCGATCGCCGTGCACGTTCTCGGATAAAGGTGGGATGGAAGGGAGACCATGACGACACGTAAAAAGGATTACTCACTCGCTACAATCCGTTGTCCCGGTGCCGCCACCTTGAACGGCGGCTCCGCCATCTCCCGCGCTTCCGCCAGGCTCACCGCCTGCCACTCCCCCCTCCCCGCCGCAGCGTCTCCCCCGCGCACCCCCCCCCACAGCCCCCGCCCGTTCCCGTTGCTGCTTCTGCGCGCCGCTCCGTTACCGTTCTGCGGAACCCAATCGTCCCCCGCCAATGCCGCGAACGTGTCGGCAAAAGCCCCGTCCGCAAGCGCCTCCCCCGCGACCGCCGCTCCCGCTGCTTTTGCCGTTTTGATTAGGCGGCGGGAATCCCGCCGCTTCTCAAGGCCCTTAGTCGTCGAACTCTTGCTCAGCCTTCTTGCCAGCTTAAATTTTTCCAAATCGCTTACTGCAGCAGCAGCTCCGTCCGTTTCGTGCCACGTGGCGGGGCACGTGGGCAAGAGAGCGAGCGTGGAATTGGCGGAGGCGGAAGAACGACGGGAGGATGTTCGCGCGGATTGCGCAAGGGCGAGCGCGGAGACGGGTTGCAGCAGCGCGAGCACGGAGAAGAGCGACAGTTGCGCCGCCAGAGCCACCGCGAACCGCGTCTGGCGGTGCGCGTGCGGGCTTAGGTCGAGAGGCGCCGCGAGATGCGGCACGGTAAGCGGAAGCGAGGCCGAATAGGAGGCTTCAAGGGACGCTTGGAACGAGCCGGGAAACGGGGAAGGCATTTGTGAGCTGTTAGTGGTAGTGATTGCCGTGGTTGCGGTGGAGGTAGACAGATACGCAGAAGCCACTCCAGCGGCGGCGCCGGTGGCGACAGAAGGGGATGAAGCTACTTCAGCTGCGGATGGTGCTTTCTTTGATGGCGAGCGGTGAAGCGGTGATGACTGCGGAGGCGCGATTGGGTGGGATCCCGATGGTGAGGAAAAAGCGGAGGTCGTTAACCGCCTCGAGGTAGTATCCTCGCCGCTCTGCCTCCCCTGATTGGATGAAAATTCGTTTCTGCCAACCCTAGACGCGGGCAGGTTCCCCTGGGAAGGAACGGGTGTTCTTTTGCTCTTGTCACACTTTATACTGTCGCCGCCATGTCTACCCGACGAACTTGGACCTCCCGTTACTGTCACCAAAGCGCGGCGATGTCCTCTGTGCGCAACGCCCGCCACCATGCTTCCAGCCCATCGCGACGTTGCACCCGTTCGCCACGAGTGCCACGTGGCTGAAACTGACACGTCAGCATCCGACGAATTTGGGAACACCAAGCTGCAAGGGCTCTGACGGTGGCTTGAGTACCTCCGGCCGGCAAGCTGCTGGCGGGACGCTTCCGCGAACGCTCCGCAGAAGCTGCTCGGCTCGGCGCGCAGCGAGGGAGTAGCAGGTGAGACTGCGGATGAGAGGACGCTGTGCGATGAGAGGGAGGTGGCAGTGGTAACGCCGTTGCTGGTTGTTGTGTCTAAACGTAAGGCAGGGAGGCCTCGCATCGGGCAAACCAGGGCTGCTGCTGCTGCTGCAGTCGCCATCACGAGAAAACGGGATTCGACAGGGGAGAAATAGGAGAGTCGAATAAAAATAGGACGGGATTGAAATATACGGAGGAAGAATTAACGGACACGAGCCTATGCTCCTGCCCTCTGGAAAAATGGTATGGCGAACTCGCCTCGTGTAAGGAGGACGAAGCTCGTCACTACCAGAAAGATAGGAAGGAAAAAAGTTTGAATGGTGCAAATCTTGCAGAGGGCAGACTCCGATATGGCTGAATTGGGTGTCAACAAGCAGGGGAGTTGGGGTGGATTCTATGGTGGACATGAAATCGTTGGAAACACTGCTGGCGTTCCCAAGAATTCACGGTAGCGTTCGACAGCTTGGCGCAATGAGATGTTACTCCATCGCTCCGTTCGCCAGCCGCGGACATGAGTGGCTTTTCGCAGGGCCATGTGCGTGAACTTCAACCCCAGGCCGCAACGCCCGAAGGGCGGCTTTTCACTGACGACATTGCCACGTAACCCTGGGACGCCGACGCCCCACCACATCTTCGCAGCCAAGCTGTGTCCACCACGTGTATTCCTGCAGATGAGCGTAATCTTCCGGGCCCTCTGGCAAAAAGGCACTGATTCACTGATCCGCCGCAAGATGGCATCCCAGAGGCCAGTCTGCCCGTTCGCCACGACGTTTGGTCGGCTGGAATCACTCGTCTCTCTGGGGCCACTCAAATATGGACAGGCAGGGTAGGGTACAGTTTAGCAACTCCAGCCCCGATACAATACACCCTCTTTCTAGAACTTCTCACCAGCACACAATTATAATATCTCACATGAGAATGCTTCTCAAAGTTTGCTCTATGGCTGCCGTCCTCTATTATTTAGCTAACTTGGTGTCCGCGATTTTCGCACACACAATCTCACAACAAGCCCAAGCAACCCACCTGTCAGTCATCCATCCTTCCAACCCCAAGGAACCTCTCTCGATCTGCTTGGCGGGAACTTCGAATTTCCCGCCAAGCCCAAAAATCTTCGCAGCAGAACCACTATGATCCACGATGTCGCAGAACGCGTGGTAACCACACAGAAACAAGACGCACTGTTCTCCCGCAAATCCATGAAGCACCTGGACTGGGGCTCAGGTCCAACTGCTTCTCAGTCTTGGCTTACCAGTTTAGCAGACTAATCTTAGTTAGGCGGTTGATTTAGTGGCCGGTATCTAGTTTCGGAAAAACTACGGCTCATAAGGGTCAGATCATTGGGCGAGGCAGAGTTTCTTACATGTATCGGCCATTTCATTATTCACACTGACAACAAACATATTTATCTCTTCGGGAAGTCTTCACTGCTTAGCTAAGAAGAACATGGCAGGAACTAGCGTTGCTACCGCCTCCCGGGTTGCCAGATTGCAGTCTAATTTCCCCTCGAGTTGCCCTCTCACATCGAAGCTTAGTAATTATCAAAACATTACTTACCATAACTCCGTTAGTGCTTCTATACGTTCGCAACAGCAAGGAAATAAGAGGCCACACGGCCATAATCAGGCTCAGACACCCACCATCGCCACCACCGCAGGCACCATTCTCAGACTGTCCAGCTTTTGCGGGGTACCGCGAGTGTCGCGAAGCGTTTTAACCTCTAATTTTAATTCCAATAGCACCTGTAGTGCGGTGCACAATGTGAGGCGAGTCAAGTTTCAAGCTGAGGGTCTTACTCGGCGTTGTTGCGTGGCGGCCGCGTATTCCGCCGCGGATGGCGCGGATGGAGGAAGAGTCGGAGGCGGTGTTGTGACGGAAACGAACAATTCGACGGTGTCCGTTTACGACGCGGACGAAAATGGAGGAGACGAACCGTTTATGAGCCTTCCGATAAGTTATTACGAGGTACGGCATTAGAGTTTAATGCAGAAATTAAAGTGGCTTGTGTGTTTACGGATGCCTGTAGCTGTTAACCGAATGCGCGTAGCTTGTACGGAGGCAAACTGTTCCTTTATTGTTTACGGTGTTTCGTTTCCTGAAGACAATCTGTACATTGACGCTGAAAGTCGATCCTCCTATTCTGATAACACCCGCTGTTGCACTTACAGCCTCACATGGTTGCGCACACTCATAGCCTCTGCTGTTGCCAACATGTGTTTTTAACCACATAAACTGATCGCCAGAATGCTGCTCGTACCGCGTACGACGGTCCTGTTACTTAGAGCATCGGAAAGTATACCCAGGTGCTGCGAGCGCACCCCGAGACCCACACGGCCACCATCGACCTCACGCTCCACTCCCTGCTCGCCTCACCATCCTCCCCTCCCCACCACTGCACAAAGCCCATCCACCACTCCCACCTCTCTCCCTCCAGCTGCAATAAGTCCACCCCGAGACCCCCACGGCCACCATCGAACTCATTTGCTCGACTCCATGCTCGCATCACCTCTCATCACTTCCCGAGCTACCCCACCCAACCCCCATCCACCCCCCTCTCCCTTTCCCACCCCAGGTGCTACAAGTCCTCCCCGAGACCCCAACAGCCACCATCGACCTCATGCTCGACTCCATGCTCGCCTGTTTCTCTCACCACTCCATATGCTTATAACCCACCCCCCCAACTCTCCAGGTGCTGAGAGTTCACCCCGAAACCCCCACAGCCACCATCGACCTCATGCTAGACTCCATGCTCGCCTCGCCGCCTCAAGAAGGCTTCACCGTCTCCGCCCTCACGGTCAGGGCGGAAGTTTTGGAGGCTGCCCGGGACACGCTGCTGGATCTGGAGCTCCGGGCAGAGTATGATGAGGACCTGAAGGCAGCAGCTGCAGAGCAGCAGCAGGGGTTGGGGGGTGTGGGGAGGGGTGGAGGGGAGTACGGGGGCGAGACTGCGATCATGGTTGATGTTCCTGTGAGCCGGGTGAGTTGTTGTTGTTTCTCTTCCCACCTCGTTTCTCCTCCTGAAACTGGTAGGTTGCTTGTCTGTCATGAATTCTTGTGTTCTTTCAGCTGTCACTTTCTCGCAATACCTACAGCTCTCTATATGTACATAAGTTTGATGTTTACATGTAGGGCTGTGTTATTGTCCATAAATTTCCCAGGTCCCTGGCGTGTTGTGCCTGCTGCAAGAGGCGGGTCGCTCTGCTGACGTGGCAGAGGCGGGCCTCGACCTCCTCTCCCGCCCGGATGGCGATCCTGCTTTCCGTGCTGACGTGGCACTCGCCACAGCGTTGGCGTACTCAGACCTGTCGCGCGATGCCATGTCAGCAGACCCGCCTGCAGTGGCACAGGGCTGCGAGCTGCTGGAAGCTGCGCTGAAGCTTCTGCAGGTGAGTGTGCGTGGGAAGGCTTTGACCCGAGGTTCGGGGGTTTAGGGTGTGAGGTTCTGGTTCCAAATGGTGTGTGTTGATCTAAGCTCAGGACGCCTTCGTTTTGTCTGCTAATCCCCTCTCTTCAAGAATCCGCCCATCCCTCCACTCAGACTTCCTCTGTCTCACTGCTCATTCCTCACCCCCGTGCCGTGCCGCCCTGCCTCCGCCTCTTTGTCTGCCTCTTATCCTCACATTCTCACGTCATCCCCTTTCCCGCTTCTCAGGACGAACGGGGCCCATGTCTGCCCCCCATCCTTGTTTGAAGCTCCTCAAATCAAACCCAAACTTTTTTCCTGGTACCGTCCTCCTCCTCTCTTCCTCCCCCTCTTCCTCTTCCCCATCCATCAGGACGAGGGCGGACCAGGGCTGGCGCCGTTCCTGCACGCAGCGATAGTGGACTCGCTGAGGGAGAAGGGCCCAACACGCGTGCTTTTGTTACCCCTGTCATATAAGCCTCTACCCTGCCTTTCCACCTCCTCTTCGACAGGACGAGGGCGGACCGGGGCTGGCGCCGTCCCTGCAGGCAGCAATAGAGGACTCGCTGCAGGAGATGGGGCCCACACGCGTGCCCTCTTTGTACCCCCTGTCGTTGAAGCCTTCTCCCGTGTCTGTCCACCTACCCTCCTCCCCCCATCAGGACGAGGGCGGGCCAAGCCTGGCGCCGTCCCTGCAGGCGGCCATAGAGGACTCGCTGAGGGAGATGGGCCCCACACGCGTGCTGGAGCTGCTGGCGCTGCCCCTGGACAAGGAGCACGAGGACGCCCGGAGCGAGGGCATACAGGTGGGCGGTGGGCTGATGGGTGGGTGGATGGGTGGATGGGTGGATGGGTGGGTAGGTCCCTTGGACAAGGACCACGAGAATGGGTGGGGCGAGGGCGTACAGGTAAGAGGGGGGGGTGGGTGAGCGGGTGCAAGTCGTAGCAGCTGAGTCTGGGAGTTAGTTTAGCTCAACTGAGGCATACAGGTGTAGGACCTCCTGACCTCCCACCCACCTCATCGCTCACTTGGCTTATGCTTCCTCTTTACCCCCCACCAGGCCATGCGGGTCCTCCTCTCGTCCCAGAACCCTCAGGGCACTCTCTCCTTTTCATCTCAAGGCAGTCTCTCCCGCCATGTGTTCATGCGGGAGGCCTTCCTGCGCCTCACAACCTCGGAGCTCATCGCCCACTTTGCGCTGCCTCTCCTCTTTCCTCCTCAGGCCATGCGGGACTTTCTGACCTCCGTGCTCATCGCCCATTTGTCTCCCACTTCCTCTTTCCCCCTCTCTCCCTCCGTTCTTCTTCCTCCTACCAGGCCATGAGGGACCTGCTCTGGTCCCAAAGCCCAGACGGAGCACTGTCATTCGCCTCCCAGGGCGGTTTCTCCCGCCATGTGTTCATGCGGGAGGCCTTCCTGCGCCTCACCACCTCCGAGCTCATCGCCCACTTCGCTGCCGCCCCGCCGCACGTCGATGCCGGCATCCTCGAGGCCTACTGGGTGGCTCTCGCCTTTGCCGGCCGGGGCTTCTTCCTGCGCCGCCCGGCCGACATCGTCCAGTCTGAAGCGCTGCTCAAGGAGCTGAACGAGTCCACCGCGTACCGTTTGTTGGTTAACGTGAGCACGGGCGGCGGGGTGGGGGAGGCGGGCGGCGGAGTGGCCGGGGCGGTGGCGGGGACAGGTGGCGGGCGAGGATTGGCCAGAGAGGGTGGGGGAGCAGGCGAAGCAGGAGTGATAGCAGGAAGCACAGCAGGAAGAGAAGCAGGAGCAGCAGGAGGATCAGGGGCAGGAGCGGGAGAGCGGGTGCAAGGTGGGGCGGGGAGTGCAATGGCGATGGTGGCAGGGACAGACGTGCCAGCGGATCTGTCAGTGGAGAGGGCGATGTGCGCGCTGCTGCTGGGGCAGGTGGGCGCGTGCAAGCAATGGCTGGGCGTGCATGTGACCCCTCCCTGTGGCGACCTTGCTGTCGCCCAGTATGTCTATGCCAACTCGCCTAATGCCCCTCCGGTTGACTCGTGGTACGGCGGCAGCAGCGGTGCAGGCAGTAGCAGCAGCAGTACAGGTAGCAGTACAGGTAGCAGTACAGGTAGCAGCACAGGTAACAGCACAGCTCCTAGCATAATCACCACGCCTGCAGGCGGAGCAAAAGTGGCAGCAGGAGCTGGAGGAGCGGGGGCAGGCGAGGAGGATGTGCTTTTACCGGGGCTGTGCCGCTTGCTGGAGGTGTGGCTAAGAGAGGTCGTAGCCATGCGGTTCCGAGACACGTCCCATCTCCCTGTTGTTCTCTCTGAGTACTTTGATCATCCTGCTGTAGGGAGTTTCTTGGATGCGTGGGATCAGTCGCAGGGTGGGGGGGGAGGAGGGAAGGTGGGGGAGAGTGGAAGAGGGGAGGGCGGCGGGATGCGGAATGCTGCTATGGAGGTGATTCGAGGGGTGTTTCCGTGGATGCAAGGAGGGGGTGATGCAGCAGCAGCAGCAGCAGGAGCGGCAGTCGAAAATCCTTTCATCGTTTCCACATCAGCCACTACCACTACCACCACCACCTCCTCCTCCCTCTCCCCACCCTTGCCCACCGATTCGTTACAAGACGACTCGTTACAAGACCCGTCCTCGTCGCTCCCACCAGCAGAGCTCGCCCGATCACGCACCAGACGAGAGCTCTTCGGCGCCTCACCCCTCCTCGACCCCCAAGGCTCGCCCATCCCCCTCCGCACCGCCCAACCCGAATCCCTCCCCACCTTGGGAATATCCGGAACCGAACCTGGGAGCAGCAGTGGCAGGGGTAGATTTGGCGGGAAGGTGGGAATGGTGGTGGCAGGGGTGGCGGCGGCGGCGGTGGTGGTGGGGGGAGGGTTCACGGCGTGGCGCATGCGGTCGGGGCGGTTTGGGCCGTCGCTGCTGGGAGTGGAAGCGGCGATGGTGGGGCAGCAGGCCAAGGAGCAGGCGACTTCTGGTGAGTGGGAGGGTGTTTAATCCACAGAGGTTTGGGTTGTCGTTGCGGTCGGGGCGGTTTGAGCTGTCTGTCGCTGCGGGGGGTGGAAGCGGGGGGCGCAGGGCAAGGAGCAAGCGGCTTCTGGTGAGAGCGAAGGTTGTTTCACCCACACAAGTGCGGCTGAGGCGGGTATGGTTGTTGGGCTTGAGGTTTGCGGTTTGGGGTTTATGGCATGGCGCATGCGATCGGGGCAGTTTGGGCGGTCGCTGTTGGGCATGGAGGGGGAGATGGTGGGGCAGGGCAAGGAGCAGGCAGTCTCTGATGAGTAGAATGGTTGTTTCATGCAACGTGGTGTTTGAGGTTGTGGTGGCCACAATGCTGTTTGAGGTGCTGTGGTGGGGGGGCAGGGGGGTTGGTCGTTGCTCCCCACACTCCTCTCCACAACTCTCACTCACTCTCCTCTCCCTCTCTCCTCTCTCTGCTCCCCACTCCCCTCTCATCCGTGACACTGGCTGATTGCCATCTCATCACTTCGTTGTTCCTCTTTTTGCCCTCCTTCTTTGCTGCCAGAGGTAGCAGCAGGTGCAGAGGAGTGCAGCGAGGTGGAGGAGGTGCAGTGGGCAGTGCTGGTGGTGCGGCACTGGCAGGAGGTGAAGGCGGCAGAGCTGGGCCAGTCAGTCACACCCTGCAGATCACACTCATTCTTTGCCCCTTGTGATAAAAGTAACATTTTGAGACTCACTCTTTGCCTCTCAAAATGTTACCTTTATCACGCAGTCACACCCTGCAGATCACACCCTGCAGATCACACCCTGCAGATCACACCCTGCAGATCACACCCTGCAGATCACACCCTGCAGATCACACTCACTCTTTGCCCCTCACTTTCCCCACTCTTTCCTCCTCGTGCTGCTATTGCTCACTCTATACTTTCAGAAGCAGCAGCAGGCGCAGAGGAATATTCCGAAGTGGAGGAGGTGCAGTGGGCGGTGCGCGTGGTGAGGCACTGGCAGGAGGTGAAGGCGGCAGCGCTGGGCCCGCAGCACCGAGTGGACCGGCTGGGGGAGATCTTGGAGGGGCCTATGCTGGAGCTGTGGCGCAACAGAGCCAAGGAGGTGGAGAACAACGGGTGGTTCTGGGAATACAGCTTCCTCAGCCTCAATGTGAGTTGAGGCTTTAAAGCCGGAATGTGAAGTGTACTGGGTTACGGCTCGACACTCGATCCTGGAGGGTCCGTGCTGGAGCTGAGGCGGAACAGAGCCAAGGAGGGGGAGAACAACGGGTGGTTCTGGGAATACAGCTTCCTCTGCCTCAATGTGAGTAGAGGTCTCTATCCCTTGATGTGACTTGTGTTGTGTCTGTTCCTCTTGACACGGCTCAAAAGTCGATCCTGGAGGGGCCGATGCTGGAGCTGTGGGGGAACAGAGCCAAGGAGGTGGAGAACAACGGGTGGTTCTGGGGATACAGCTTCCTCAGCCTCAATGTGAGTTGCACTGTGTTTGCGCCTTTTGAGACGGCGCGGCTGGCCGGTGGATGCATGTCCATGTTCCGCCTCTGTCTTACTGCCCTTCCATTGTGTACCTCCTTCATCCCCTCCTTTGGCCACAGGTGGAGATGGCAGCAGTGAGCAAGTGTCAGAAGAAGGCAGTGGTGGAAGCAGTGGTGCAGGAGGCAGCGCGGTTGGTGGATGCAGCGGACCCGACTCATGGCCCTCCCACTCTCGCTCCCTTGTTCCCTTCCTCCCTTCCTCCCTCTCTGCTCCCCCACAGGTGGAGATGGCAGCAGTGAGCAAGTGTCAGAAGAAGGCAGTAGTAGAGGCAGTGGTGCAGGAGGCGGCACGGCTGGTGGATGCAGCGGACCCGACCCACAACGATGCGTACAGAAGCACGTACACGGCGCGGTACGAGCTGCTGCAGACCGGCACCTGCTGGAAGATCGTCGGCGGTACTGTGCTGCGATAGTGTGTGGTGATTTAGAGGCTTGTGCTGTGGGGTTGCGGTGTGCTGCTGTGAGTGGACGATGCGGTGGGTGTGTGCTGCAGACCGGCACCTGCTGGAAGATCGTTGGCGGCACCGTGCTGCGGTAGCACATAGGGATGACGCTTTTGGCAATTCTCATGAGTGGGGTGCGGGGGGATGGCAATGGAGATGCTGGTGTTGTTGTGCCGGGCGCTGCAGTGGCAAAGCAATGAAGATGTCGAACTCATACTGTGATGTGATGTGACTCTCATGTCAAATGATATGGGATGAGCTGGGCTTCGAGGGATGAGCTGGGCTGCCAGGCGGCCCCCTGGCCCCTGGGTATGGATGGGTACATGGATGGCGGCAGTGGGAGCTTCTCTCTCACCCAGCTGAACTGTGGCGAGGGACGCACACAAAAAAGCATGTGCACTTACTCTGGAGTAGTGGTCTAATGCACTAACGAAGAAGGGAAGTGAGGGAGGGGTGACAAATCGGGGATTTTTTCTGGCAGGCTAATGTATGTGTTGATCTAAGCTATTTCTTTTTGTAAGAGATGTTATGCCTGGACTGATTAGTAAATCATTGTCTTTCTATTGACGATGATATTTTTTCTCAACGTTTGTACATTTGACGAAAAGCATATGCCGCGTATCGTTCTCCCACATGTTTCTGGTCACCTCGGCCGCTCCCGCAATTTTGATCTACGCTTTCCTGCCTGCAACACCTCTCAGGAATACCGCCACGTCAGCCCTTGGGATAATGACGTGCCATCAACTGCTGCGTTCGCCGCAGCACCTTCTCTCTCTTTCCCGCCTCTCTCCCGTGCCTTGCGGCGGATCAAACGTCAGCGCGTCACTCACAGCCACGTGTCGAGCCGGCATTGGCAGATCTCCTCTCTGGCGCGGAACCCCTCTTCTCACAGACGAACGGTCGAGATTGCTCCATCGGCGGCATCGCAGTTCCGTCGTCCGAGCCGTGGCAGCAGCAGGAGCTGATGACGTGTCGGCCAGCTCAGCTACCAGTGGCGAATCGCAACGGCCGCATTCCGCCATTCGTGAAATTCAGGTACTTCACTCGCGATCGTGACCTTGCGCGTTGAATCAAAGAGGGACGGAATGAGGAGCGGAGCGAGGGGGAGAGGGGGAGCGAGGGGAGGAGGAGAGCGAGGGAGGGCGAGGATGGTGGGGAGGCGAGGGTAGGAAGGGCTGCCGTCAACCCGTGCAACCTCTCGCATCATATCTCGACCTTGCGATCTCAATGCAGCAAGTGGAGAGCGGAGGTGGGGGAAAAGTGGAGGGGAAGAAGTGTGGGTGGGTGGGGAAGAGGGGGCGGGGAAGGAGGTCGTAGACCATTAGGCAGGCGTCAACCCTCATTCAGTGTTGATCGACCCATCTTCCCCCCCTCGCCCTCTTCTTCCCCTTCTTCCCTTTCTCCCTGTCTCCCCCTCCTTCACCCCGGGCCTCCTTCCTCCTGTTTCGAGCACTCATCCCTCTACCCCCTTATGCCTCCCTCATGGCTTTCCCCCTTCCTCTCTCCTTGTCCATCACCCACTTCGCCCCACCCACCCACTCCCTCCAATTTCATTCCTCCAACCCCATTCCCTCCCAACCCCATCCCTCCCAACCCCATCCCTCCCAACCCCATCCCTCCCAACCCCTCTCCACCAACCCCTCTCCACCAACCCCTCTCCTCCAACCGTGCAGCGCCAGCTGGCGAATGGCGAGCGGACAGCTGTCGGCGTGGCAGAGGAGTATCTGGAGCGGCTGGAGGCGCAGGAGGGGCAGCTGAGAAGCTTCCTCCACACCGACAGGTAATTTCCCTGATAAGGTCAGAAAGCTTCCTTGTGACAGGTCTGTTCTGTAGGACAGTGGATTGGGATCACTGAGAAGCTGTGAAAGGTCTGTTCTGTGTCAACTTGATTGATGGCAATGCAAGGCGACCAAGGTCAGCTCTTGAGTAAAACCAGAATATGTTGTACCATAAGGGGGCGCTAAACACTCTGAGGCCCTTGAACCACCTTCAATTCAATCCTAATCCTTGAACCCTGAACCCCTGACAAGGTAGGCAGACCAGTTTCTCTTGTGGTAGTTTCGGGTTCCCCACCTAACAGTAGGCAATTGCCGCTCACTGATGAGATTGTGAGACTCTGTGATACCTGTGAAGGACTTTCGCCCCCTTGACTCTTTCCACTCCACCTTTCTCCACTCCTCTCCACCCCTCTCCCAAATCGCAATCTCCTGCAGGGAGGTAGTCCTGCAGCAGGCACGGGAAGTGGATGCTGCCCTGGCATCTCAGTCGGGCAGCGGGGAGAAAAATTTGGGGCTGCTGACCGGAGTGCCCATGGGGGTGAAGGACAACCTGTGCACACGTGGCATGCCCTCCACCGCTGCCTCTAAGATCCTCAAGGTCTGCTGACGTGGCGGATGCTGATGTGCCAAGCGCTTGCAAGCGCTTGCAGGAAGACCCTCAACCTCCCAACGCTTGGTCATGTTGCTCCCACTTCCATCCTTCATTTTTTGCTAGTGTGCGAATCGAATCGCTTGTGTGTGTTTCTTCGTGTAACCGCTACACTACATCACACCACTGAAGGGCTACATGCCGCCGCCATACGATGCGACAGCAGTGGAGAGGTGAAGGCGGAGGGCACGGTGGTGGTGGGGTGGGGAGGACCATCAAGTGTGCATGTGTTGCTTGTTGTGTGTGTTTGTTGCATGTGCCGACTCAGCTTGTTGTGTGTGTTTGTTGCATGTGCCGACTCAGCTTGTTGTGTGTGTTTGTTGCATGTGCCGACTCAGCTTGTTGTGTGTGTTTGTTGCATGTGCCGACTCAGCTTGTTGTGTGTGTTTGTTGCATGTGCCGACTCAGCTTGTTGTGTGTGTTTGTTCGTGTCCCCCACGTCACTCCACCACAGAGATACATGTCCGATGCAACAGCAGTGGGGAGGGTGCAGGTGGAGGGCGCGGTGGTGGTGGTGGGGAAGGCAAACTAGTATGCGCTTTTTTCTTCTCTGCATTTCTTGTGTGTGTGTTGCTCTCTGTATCTCCCCACCCATCCACCACACCGCAGGGCTACATGCCGCCATACGATGCAACAGCGGTGGGAAGGGTGAAGGCGGAGGGGGCAGTGGTGGTGGGAAAGATTGACAAGTGTGCATGTGCTGCTTTCTGAATCGCCATCCCCATTGCGTCGTATCTCACTCCACCTCAGGGCTACATGCCACCATACGATGCGACAGCGGTGGGAAGGGTGAAGGCGGAGGGTGCGGTGGTGGTGGTGGTGGTGGGGAAGGCAAACTAGTATGCGCTCTTTTCTTCTCTGCATTTCTTGTGTGTGTGTTGCTCTCTGTATCTCCCCACCCATCCACCACACCGCAGGGATACATGCCGCCATACGATGCAACAGCGGTGGGGAGGGTGAAGGCGGAGGGGGCAGTGGTGGTGGGGAAGACAAACATGGACGAGTTTGGCATGGGCAGCACCACTGAGGGGTCGGGTTACCAGGTAACGCCCGTCTGTGCGTGAGTGCGTGTGCGCCCTTTGTTGGCCAACAGTCAGGTGGTGGGCGGTGGGGTGAAGACAGAGGGGGCGGTGGTGGTGGGGAAGACGAACATGGACGAGTTTGGCATGGGCAGCACCACTGAGGGGGCGGGTTACCAGGTAACATATGTTTGTGTGTGTGCGCATGCACATGTGTGTCTGTCTGCGAGTGCATGTGTCGGCACCAACATGGACGAGTTTGGTTGGCATTGGCAGCACCACTGAGGGCTCTGGTTACCAGGTAACGTGCGTCTATGCATAAGTGCATGTTTGCATGTATGCATGTATGCATGAGTGCATGTGTTTTGTCATCCTGTCATTGTGTCGCAGTTTGTATACTTCCAGTTATCAATTGGCAGTTGATTGATACCTCCTTGGGGAAGGAGGGGAAGCGTTGTGTGAGACTTCCCTTCCTTCCCCGACGCTTCCTCACACAATCTCTCCACCCCTTGGGGAAGGAGGGGAAGGTTTGCCCTAATCTCCCCACTCTTTTCGCCTCTCTCTCTCTCCCTCTCCCCAACTCCCCTCTAGCTTTGATTGAGTCGACTCAAAAGGTTGGCCCTAATCTCTCCACTCTTTTCGCCTCTCTCTCTCTCCCTCTCCCCAACTCCCCTCTAGCTTTGAGTCGACTCAAAAGGTTGGCCCTAATCTCTCCACTCTTTTCGCCTCTCTCTCTCTCCCTCTCCCCAACTCCCCTCTAGGTGACAACCAACCCCTGGGATCTCTCGCGAGTGCCAGGCGGCAGTTCAGGAGGCTCTGCCGCTGCTGTGGCGGCTGGGCAGTGTGCTGTAGCTTTGGGCTCTGACACGGGTGAGTGAGGGAAGGGGTGTTGGTGGTGGCGGGTGAGGGGGGAAACCCAAGGGAGTTGGCTCAGGCTGTTGCATCTGCTGCTCCTGCTGTGAGGGGCAGGGCGCCTCCTCCAGCGGTGGAGGTGCGCACTGCACTGCACGGCGCACTGCTCATCTGCATCTGCTGCTCCTGCTGTGGCGGCCGGGCAGCCGTGGATATGGGCCCTGATACAGGTGAGCGGAGGGATAAGAAGGTGGGAGGCGTGTGATTATATATTGTGTCATGTGATGTAGGCGTGAGCACTACCGCTGTGTCTCCCGCCAGGGTCTCATGGCCTATGCGTCTAGCCTCGACTGCGTGGGCGTGCTTGGTCTCGTGACGTGTATGCCAATGCCGCCACACCCCTACCCACCTCCACCCTACCCCACCGTATCCCGCATCCTTGCTCTCTCCCAGGGGGCAGCGTGCGTCTCCCTGCGTCATTCTGCGGCAGAGTTGGCTTAAAGCCCTCTTACGGCCGTGTTTCCCGCCTGGGTCTCATGGCGTATGAGTCTAGCCTGGACAGCGTGGGCGTGCTTGGTCTCATGGGGTGTGTGCCACTGCCACCACACCCTGCACACCCCAACCCATCCCCACCCACCCCTCTCCACCACCCCCCCCCATGTGTGCTCTCTTTCTCTCGCTCTCTCCCAGAGGGCAGTGTACGCCTGCCAGCTTCATTCTGCGGGATATTTGGCTTAAAGCCCTCGTACGGCCGGGTCTCCCGCCTGGGCCTCATGGCGTATGCATCCAGCCTGGACTGCGTGGGCGTGCTTGGGCTCATGGGGTGTATGCCACACACACCCCTACCCATACCCCACCCCACCCCAACCCCTCCCTCATTCGCACCCTCTCCCACGTGGCAGCGTCCTTCTGTGGCATAGTGGGTCTGAAGCCCTCCTATGGCAGTGTCTCCCGGCTGGGCTTCATGGTGTATGCATCCAACCTCCCGTCCATGTAAAACCCTCATTCCCCCACCCCCTCAACCCCATACTCCCAGGTGGCAGCGTGCGTCTGCCAGCGTCCTTCTGTGGCATAGTGGGTCTGAAGCCCTCGTACGGCCGAGTGTCGCGCCTGGGGCTCATGGCGTATGCGTCCAGCCTGGACTGTGTGGGCGTGCTGGGGCGATCAGTAGAGGACACAGCCATTGTGCTGCAGGCGATGGCGGGGAGAGACGAGGGGGACAGCACGTGCAGCAAGGAGGTGAGTGAGTGGTGGGTAGAGGGCGGTTAAGTGCAGCAAGGAGGTGAGTGAGTGGTGGGTAGAGGGCGGTTAAGTGCAGCAAGGACATCAAGTGCTCTGAAGCCCTCTTGCCTGGACTGTGTGGGCGTGCCGGGTCGATCGGTGGAAGACACAGCGATCGTGCTGCAGGCGATGGCTGGGAGAGACGACGGGGACAGCACGTGCAGCAAGGAGGTGAGAAGTGGAGTTTTGTTGCACCTTGGGGCGATTTTATTCAGGGCTCATGCATATGTCTTCACGGCTCATGCATATGTCTTCACGGCTCATGCATATGTCTTCACGGCTCATGCATATGTCTTCACGGCTCATGCATATGTCTTCAGGCCAGCGCGATGTGGAGAGAAGTGGGGTGCTTACACTGGGCTGGGCCCCAGCCCAGCAGTCGCCCTGGCCAGGACTGTGTGGGTGGGCGTGCTGCACTGGGCGTGCTGCACTGGGCGTGCTGCACTGGGCGTGCTGCACTGGGCTTGCTGCATGAGTCATTGCATGGACCCACACAACAAGGTTTCACATCCTTGATGTTCCAGGGTTTTTTTTAGAAAAAAAATCCCAGCCAGGAGTCATTCTTCCCTCTCCTTCCTCCGTTTACCCTGAGCATTTCTTCTGTCCCCCGCACCCCTCCCCATTCCCATAACCCTCTCCCCGGCCAGCCAGTACCAGACTACACGGCAGCCCTCCTCCCCGTCGCCTCGCTCGGCTCCAAGCCGCTGACAGGTGTCCGCTTCGCATTGGTCCAGGAGACCATGGGCGCTGGCGTTGATGCTGACGTGGTGCAGGCCGTCCGGGCGGCGGCGGCGCACTACGAGACGCTAGGAGCCACCGTGGAGGAGGTGTCCATGCCGTTCTTCGCCAGTGGCCTGCCAGCATACTATATCCTCGCACCCTCTGAAGCCTCCTCAAATCTCTCTCGCTACGACGGCATCAGGTGCGCCCTCCCCCATCCCTCTTCTTCTCCTCTCCCCCTCTCCTTCCCTTCCCCGATGTGGAATAAACACGAGGAAAAGCCGAACCAAGATTCGGCTCTAGGCAACCCGGTGTTCTTTGTAAACCGAACTTTTCTTCTTTTCTTTCTTTGTTTCTCTCTTCTTCTTTTTTCCTCGCTGGTTTGAGTCGATTTGGTTCGGGGGCGTCTAGTGTGGCTCAGAAACATCAAGAGCAAGAGCTGCGTCAAACAGAAGCGGTTCGACGCAGGTGCAGAGTCGCGCGAGTGCCCTTTGCAATTAACACATCATTCTCCACTCCACTCCGTCTTCCTGTGCAGGTTTGGACCCCAGCAGCCAGGCACGGACCTCACGTCCCTCTACAGCAACACTCGAGGCCAGGGCTTTGGCAAGGAGGTGGGCAGTTGGCGGGAAGTGAGCATTTGGAGAGAAATGTTGCTTTGAGAGGTTGCGCAAGGTGATACTTAAAACCCGTGGGTCAAGAAGGCCAAATTTGGTTCATCCTTCCTAGTGTTGGTTGGGTGTCCCAAAAACGCCTGTGATTCTCCCGAGTTTATAACACCTCGTCTAGCAACTCCCAACCAACCTTCCTAAGGTTGAATATCTTGGCCTGCGGGTTTTAAAGATGAGGAATTCAAGGGGGATCAGTGGGTTCAAGGGACCTTTTTCACATTTGCACTGGTGTTCATATCTACGTGCCTCCCTCTCTCCCCCAGGGTTTCCACATCTTACGTGCTCTCTTCTCTATCTTTCCTACCTGTGTTGATGTGGCAGGTGAAGAGGCGCATTCTAATGGGCACATACGCACTCTCTGCCGGCTATTATGATGCCTACTACAAGAAGGCACAGCAGGTGAGGTGCTACAGGTGCTTTTTCAAGTGCATTTCAGGTTCATGTTCAGAAATTTGTCCCATATGAATACATACGCCCTCTGCAGGCTACGAGATCTCTTCAGTCACAAGCCGCAAACGGTAGCCCCCTTTTTGCCCCACATTCCAAGCTTACCTTTCCCACGTGCGTGCATTGAGGTCGTTTTTGAGGCGCCTCAAAAACGACCTTTTTGCCCCACATTCGAAGCTTACCTTTCCCACATGCGTATCTACTAGAATGCTCAGCCCCCACAATGCTTTGGCTTTTGATCATCCTCCACAACTAGCCTCCCCCAACAGTCACCACCTTCAACTCCTTCCACATCTCCTTCACCTCCTTCACCCATCTCCTTCACCTCCTTCCCCTTTCAACTCCTCCCCCCTTCACCTCCACCCCTTCTCATCACAAGCATGCACGACAATTCGGTAACATCATGCTCCCCCATGATCTAACCCCCCACTTCCTCACCTCCCCATCCCATGGCATGGCAGGTGCGCACGATGATTCGGCGGGAATTTCTGGCAGCACTGGAGAGGCATGACGCGCTCATCACCCTTTCCTCTCGCCTCCTCCCCACCCCTTTTCCCATCTCCCTTCCCCCCGTCACCACCTCCTCTTGTTACCTCCCCCTCTCATTACATGGCAGGTGCGCACGATGATTCGGCGGGAGTTTCTGGCAGCACTCGAGGGGCACGATGCTCTCATCACCCCCACCGCGCCCACCACAGCCTACAGCATTGGTAACCACACTAGGGTTGCACCAGCAGCAAGTTTTGTGAGCTTATAATTTAGCATTGGCGCGAAGCCTTCATCCCAGCTCTTGAAAGAGACGAAGCTCTCCCACTCCCTCTGTTCCCACCACTGCCTAGTGCACTAATAAGCGTGTGAAACTAGGTGGTTTTCAAATTGTCTTCAAGTAAAAGAAAGTGAACATTGTAGCGGTGTCATTTTGCATGCTCTGCTTTTCATCCTTGCCTTTAGGTTGCCAAAATTCCTGTCTCCTGTGTCCTATCACCCATGCGTGCAGGTGAGAAGACATCAGACCCCCTTGCCATGTATGTTGGCATCTGATCAAACACCTATGAGGTGCCTCTGTGTCGATACGTGGCCGCAACTCTGTGGTAACACTTGGGATATATGGTTGTTGAATGCTTCCTCCCGCCCGCCCATGCGTGCAGGTGAGAAGACATCAGACCCCCTCGCCATGTATGTTGGCGACCTCATGACGGTCAGCCCTCTAAAACTTCTCCCTTACTTCTCCCAGACCTCTCCCAGACCTCTCCCAGACCTCTCCCAGACCTCTCCCAGACCTCTCCCAGACCTCTCCCAGACCTCTCCCAGACCTCTCCCATACTTCTCCCAGACTTGTCTCAAACCTTTTCTAACTTCATCTCTCTGCATCTCATTCTTTGATCTCCCGTCCTCACTTGTTTAAGTCACTCGCCATATCCCCATGCTCATCCATTTCAGTTCGCCTCAGCTCTCTCTCGCCTTCATCACTCCACCCTTCTCCACTGCTCTATACCCCTTCACACCGCAGGTGAATGTGAACCTAGCGGGTCTACCAGCCATCTCTCTGCCCTGCGGGTTAGCCCCTGGTGGACCTCATGGTCTGCCCATCGGCCTTCAGATCATCGGCGCTCCCTTCGCTGAGGTGAGCCGTGTAATTGTGTGTGCGTCGTAATCATTGTTTTTGCCCACAACCTCTACTTCTCTGCTCTGCGGGTTAGCCCCTGGTGGGCCCCATGGCCTCCCTATCGGCCTTCAGATCATCGGTGCTCCCTTTGCGGAGGTGAGCTGAATTTGTTTCGCTTCATTTGAAGCAAGATGCATGGGAATTTCTTAGCAGCCCCATATGTGATTTTTATCGTCTGGTTTCTCGAAAAACCTCATTAGCCGCCCCTCTGCCCGCCCGTTGGCATTCAGATCATCGTTTGTCATTTTGCTGAGGTACCCACACAGGCTGCCATTCTCTAAAAGATATTCATGTGTTTGAGCATCCAGTTGTTATTTTAAGTGTCATATCAAAGGGCCCGGCCCGACCCGGGCCATAGAAGGAAACTTTTGGCCCGAGCCCGCCCCTAAGGCGGGCGGGCTGTGCCCTGCCCGACCCGGGCTCTGCATGGCCCGACCCGGGCCGGGCCGGCCCGGCCAGGGTGCTGTTATATTCGCCCACAGGATGTATTTTTGCGCTCCGATGCGGCCCGGCCCGGCCCGTACATGGGCGGGCCAAAATCGGGCGGCTGCAGCCCGGCGGGCCGGGCCAGCCCAGCCCGGCCCGCCCCGGGCCCACGTCGAGATTATGATGGCCGACCCGGGGCATTTCCAGGCGGGCCCTGGCCCACCTTCATGCTCATCTCCGGGCGGGCCCTGGCCCACCTTCATGCTCATCTCCGGGCGGGCCCTGGCCCACCTTCATGCTCATCTCCGGGCGGGCCCTGGCCCACCTTCATGCTCATCTCCGGGCGGGCCCTGGCCCACCTTCATGCTCATCTCCGGGCGGGCCCTGGCCCACCTTCATGCTCATCTCCGGGCGGGCCCTGGCCCACCTTCATGCTCATCTCCGGGCGGGCCCTGGCCCACCTTCATGCTCATCTCCGGGCGGGCCCTGGCCCACCTTCATGCTCATCTCCGGGCGGGCCCTGGCCCACCTTCATGCTCATCTCCGGGCGGGCCCTGGCCCACCTTCATGCTCATGCTCATCCCTACATATCACCCACCTTCATGCTCATGCTCATCCCTACATATCACCCACCTTCATGCTCATGCTCATCCCTACATATCACCCACCTTCATGCTCATGCTCATCCCTACATATCACCCACCTTCATGCTCATGCTCATCCCTACATATCACCCACCACCCACCCACCACCACCCATGATCCCCACAACCCTCCCTCCCTTCCCCCCTCCTTCCACAGGTGGCAATTCTCAAGTACGCACATGTGTTTGAGCAGACCAGTTGTCTTCCAAGGTGCCCCACCACCCACCGCCCACCAACGCCCCCTCTCCTCCCTCTCCTCCCTCTTTACACAGGCGACCATTCTCAAGTACGCACATGTGTTTGAGCAGACCACTCCTGCATGGCAATCAGGACTCGCCATTGCATCTCCTGTTACTGCCGCTGCTTCCACGTAGACGTTCTGATAGTACCACAACCTTAGTTGCATAGCACTGCAACTCGTGTTGTTGCAAGCATGTTGCTGCAGCTCCCAAAATGATTCAAAGGGCAAAGCAAACAAGACATTTCTGTTGCTGCCTTTGCAAGTACTTGCAGCAGTACAGCCTGAGACAACTTAAAAAAGCTTCACAAATGAGTTGTAATATTAGAATTTGAATAGTTCTGAGCATCTGTCATAACCCAACTCCTCATACTGCTTCTTCGTGACTGCTTTGCGAGCAAATTCTCCTGACTTGACTAACTCAGAGCCTCCCTTCCATGCACTCACCACTGGGCTGCGAAATACACCGCACAGCACACACACCAAACACACAAAGACCGCACACCAAACGCAGAGACACAAATGTCAATTGATACACGGTCGCAATAACAACACTCACTCCAAGCAGGAACTTTTGTAGCCATGTTGGGTCAGTGAGTCACACCACAGAGAGCCGATTCAAGAACTTATGAACCCATGCATACCCGCATGCATGGAGTGATGAAGGGGGATCAGGGGATCATGCACCTTGCGAGGTGACTTTTGAGTCGACTCAAAAGTCACCTCGACTCAAAAGTGGCATGCATGGAGTGATGAAGGGAGATCAGGGGATCATGCACCTTGCGAGGTGTCGGAAACTCATAATCTGTGAGAGATACTGGCTCCCACACAATGGCTGCCCTCAGTGGCCTAGTCACCTAGCTGCTGTAGCGTTAGAACGGCAACGTAAATCCACTATTTTAGGCAAACAAACGAGAGAACGAACTAAGCAGTGAGTTCCTAGTCTATTTGAATCTCTACCCCGTGCCGCGCAGTTTCCCGTAACTCACATTGGGCTCCGCCCGCTAGGCTTTAGGATTGGCCTTTCAGATTGCCCAGGGCTCGCCCTTGAATTCGTCCCACCCTGCGCCTCGCAAGTCCCTGAATCACCACTTTGCGTCAATCCCCACGCCCCAAACTCACCTTCTACAGTACTTCGAATAACCCAACTACACCTACACTAGCAAGTAACTGAATCTATTGCAAACAACAATACATTCTGTGACAGAGGTGACTTTTGAGTCGACTCAAAAGTCACCTCGACTCAAAAGTCGCATGCATGGAGTGATGAAGGGAGATCAGGGGATCATGCACCTTGCGAGGTGACTTTTGAGTCGACTCAAAAGTCACCTCGACTCAAAAGTGGCATGCATGGAGTGATGAAGGGAGATCAGGGGATCATGCACCTTGCATGCGAATCTGCAGGGAACGGGTATGCAACATAACCCCGAGTTGATGGAACGGGACTATCCAGGGTATTGGTGTCGGGAAGAACTATTGAGGAGATGCATCTTGAGGGTAAGTGACTCACTAGAGTTTACTATACACACACCTTTGGGAGAGAGAGATGTTAATGGGTAGTGAGTCGGGCACAAGGGGTCGCAACTCCAGTGCCCTGCCAGAACCAACAAGGCACAGGGAGAAGGGGAAAGGGAAGAGGGGGGGGGAAAGGGCGGAAGGGCAGGGGCAGACAGGGCCGCCTAAAAAACCGACTCATGGGATGTTAATGGGTAGTGAGTCGGGCACAAAGGGTCTCAGCTCCAATGCCTTGCCAGAACCAACAAGGCACAGGGAGAAGGGAAGAGGGGGGAAGGGGGGAAGGGTACGTAGGTTGGGATACTGGAGACAGTTTATGTGATAACACATGTGATTGAATGTGACATACATCAGCATGATGGAGTGGGACACGTTGACAGCAGCAGCGCCAAAACATGGCGTGATCACGTCCAAAATGGTGAAAATATTTTTTTTTGGCAAAGCGAATAACGCACATATTATGGACTTGAAACTGAGTAATACTTGCAGTAATAAATCTCGCTGAGATAGGTTAGCAAAACTTACAGCCGCTCTTTGAAGAATGGGAGCTGACAGCTGCCGCCCACCAGTACAATGCTGCCACGTGGGGTGCATGTGGGAGGTGGGTGGGAGAGGTGACTTGGAGAGGTGATGCGGCAGAAGAGAGAGGAGAGGAGAGGAGAGACGAGAGGCGAAAGACGGGAGAAGAGAGCAAAGAGGAGACCAGAGAGAAAAGTATAGAGATGAAAGGAGGAGAAAGTAGGAGTGACGAGAGCAGAAGAAAGAGGAGAGAGTAGAGAGAGGCGAGAGGAGAGAGGAGAGGGGGAAGGGCGTACTTTGAGTAGAGCAGAGGGTGGATGACTCGAGGAGCAGCAGTCACAGCCGCCACTATTGTCTCTGCGAGGCCTGCCTGGCTGACACCTGGCAGCAAGAGGGGGGCAGACGGGGTGGAGGGAAGCAGGGGGTGGATGACTCGAGGAGCAGCGCTCACAGCCGCCACCATGGTGTCTGCCAGCCCTGCCTGGCCCATTCCTGGTGACGCAAGCCGGAGGGCAGACGGAAGGTGGCAGGGCAGAGAGAGTGAACGAGAGGGTGAGAGGGCCGTAGATGACTCGACTCACAGCCGCCATTATTGTCTCTGCCAGCCCTGCCTGGCCCATTCCTGGTGACGCAAGCCGGAGGGCAGACGGAAGGTGGCAGGGCAGAGAGAGTGAACGAGAGGGTGAGAGGGCCGTAGATGACTCGACTCACAGCCGCCATTATTGTCTCTGCCTGCCCTGCCTGTCCCACTCCTAGTGGCGTCAGATGGATATGGACCATTCAGAGGAGGAAGGGAGATGGGGTGGAGGGGAGGTGATGAGGGGTGACAGCGCTCACAGCCACCATTATTGTCTCTGCCTGCCCTGCCTGCTCCACTCCTGGCGACGAGAGATGGATAAGCAGCATTCGGGGCAGCGTGGAGGGTGGGCGCGTGGGTGAGGTGACGGGGAGATGGGGAGAGGCAGCCAGCGGCAAGAAACAGCCAGAAGGAGGTGAAAGCGAAACCAGCAGCAGCAGCAGCAGCAGCAACAGCAGGAGCGGGAGCAGGAGGGGGAATAAGCAGCAAGCAGCAAGCAGCCAGTGTGGAAAGATGGGACACCGTGCGTTTGAGTGTGCGGAGAACCCAAGGAGCAGAAACTACAAAGGATCATACCCAGGTCGGAGGGATGGAAGAGGCCCTCTGGCACCATAAAGCGTTCCGATGCCAGTGATAGCTCCTGGGGAAGGGATGGGAGAGAGGGGGGGAGAGAGTGGGGACGGGAAGGGAAACACAGTTGAGTGGAAGAGGAAGTGGTTATTCTGAAGAAGAGGAAGTGGAAGAGGCCCTCCGGCACCATGAAGCGTTCCGATGCCAGTGATAGCTCCTGGTGGTGGGCAAGCAGGAAGAAAGCAGGAAAACCAGCAGGGGGAAGGGAGTTGAGGCGCGTCAAAGGAAGTGGAAGAGCCCCCTGTCCGGCAGTGAAAATTCAGGGACGGGGAAACATAAAGCAAATGCTTGTCTCTCCTCACCATCCGTTTTGAGTGGAAAATAGGACGTTTGTATTTCGGGGAATAGAACTTCATTCGTTCTCCTCCGGGAAATACAACCCACCCCTCCCCGCCAGCAGACTACTCACCGGCTGCTCGCTGCTGCTTCCTCCAGTTCTGCTGCCCGGACCACCACCACCAGCAGCACCTCTGCTGTTGGCTGGTGGTGGCATCACAACACTCGCCCCTCCACCAGCACCACCACTGTTACCACCACCACTACCAGCAGCAGTAGCACCACCACTGTTACCACCACCACTACCGGCAGCAGTAGCACCACCTTTGGCCTTGCCTCGCCCTTTCCTCTCATCCCAGTCCTCATCCTCCTCCTCGTCTTCCTCATCCTCATCATCCCCACCAGCAATCCCACCATCCCCACCCCTGCCACCTTGCTGCTGCCTCCGTCCTCCCTCCTCATCCCCCCGCTCCCCTTTCCACCCGCTTCTCCCTCTCTTCCTCCCCATCTCCCCGTCTTCCTCCCCTCTATCCACCCCATCGCACCCTCGCCTCGTCCTACCCTCTAGCAAAGCCCCACCTCGTTTCCTCCCTCTCGTTCCCCCTCTCGTTCCCCTTGCCTCTTCCACCTCCTCTGCTAAGTGTTGCTCCCACAGCTCCTCCTGGGCCTTCACTGCCTGCATCGCTGCTGTGCGGTCTTTCACCTGCCCGCGCAGAAGAGTGACCCCGTCGGGCAGCAAGTACTCTGCCCGGAATATGTTGCTGGCATCCCGTTTCCTGAAGAAAGAGCACGAGCACAAGCACAGAGGGCGGGAGGAGGAGGGTTTAGGGTTTAGGGTTGAGGGGAGGTGGGAGGGGAGGAGGGAGGGGAAGAAGGAGGGGAGGCGGGAGGGGAGGAGGGAGGGGAGAAGAGACCTCACCTGAGGATTCGCCTGGCCAAGGGGAGGTGGCAAGCAGGGAAGACAGCCAAGACGCAGCTGCTTCTAGACATGGTCCGTCTCAACGGAGCTCACCTTGGCCAACCGCCCAGCCCACCTGAGGATTCACCTGGCTGACGGCAGGTGGCGCGTGGGGAAGAGCGAGACGAAGCAGAGCTGCTCCTTGGCATGGTCCATGATGAGCGTCTCGTCCATCATGTTCCATGCGCGGTACGACACCGCCTCCTTCAACACATTCGTCAGTGCCTTGCCGCCCACGTTCATGCGCCTGGGGTTGGGCAACAGAAGGGAGGGGGAGAAATGAGAGTACGACATGAGTTCTTATGCAACTAAATAGCAAAACTGTTGCTTTCACCGGGCAGCCTGTTGTAACAATTTTCTTTTCACCTGGCAACCTGCAGCAATAATCTGCTGTTATCGCTTGACAGCCTGCAGCAGTGGTCTGTTCTTTTCTCCTGACAGCCTGCAGCAGCGGTCTGTTGTGTTCACCTGACAGCCTGCAGCAGCGGTCTGTTGTGTTCACCTGACAGCCTGCAGCAGCGGTCTGTTGTGTTCACCTGACAGCCTGCAGCAGCAGTCTGTTGTGTTCACCTGACAGCCTGCAGCAGCGGTTTGTTGTTTTCACCTGACAGCCTGCAGCAGCGGTCTGTTGTGTTCACCTGACAGCTTGCAGCAGCGGTCTGTTGTTCCAGATGGGCACGGCATGGGTGAAGGAGAAGCCAGCATCCACCACCAGCCCACAGCCCGCCTCCAGCGCCATTGCTGAGCTGGCAGCAGCAGCTGATGACGTGGCAAGCAATGATGGCATTTGTGGTGCTGGTGGTGAGTCACGGAGCACTGAGGACTGCCCTGATGCAGCAGGACAGAGGGGGTGAGACAGAGAGGAAAGCAGTGCACGGGAAAGACATGTTTGGTTTGGGTGGATGGCATGAGAATGAGACGGTGAGAAAGGGGGAGGAAGGATTGGAAAGGGAATAAAGAGTGGGGAATGCACTTACAGAGAAGAGAACATGCTGCAACGCACACACACACACCCTCATGCCAGTACGCAAGCACAGTGGGATGGAGAGGAGCACAGTGGGATGCGCACGCGCACGCACACACACACACACACACACACACACACACACACACACACACACACACACATGCACACGCACACGCACACGCACACGCACACGCACACGCACACGCACACGCACACACACACACACACACACACACACACACACACACACACACACACACACACACACACCTCATGGCGGTACGCAAGCACGGGGGAGGGGACGGGGAGGTAGGAGCGGAAGGCAAAGTGCTCAAAGGCGAGTTCCGCCATGCTGCGCTGGATGCCCGGCAGGCTGAAGAGCGGCTCTGATACCAATAGGGACGTGCTGGACGGTTGTACCTGGGGGGGGTGCGGAGGAGGGATGGGAGGTGAAACGAGGAGTGAAGTGAGAAGAGATTGGGGATGCAGATAGGACCTATGGGACGTGTGGCGACGAGGGATGGGAGGTGAAAAACGGAATCAGGAAGAATGTAGGCGTTGCCTTGACGAGGCAAAGATGTGTTTTTTTTTTTTTTCATGTAGTACCTTGAGAATACCGGAGAAGGCTCTGTCCCAGATGGTTCGCTGTAGGTCCCAGTTGACCACGTAGCCCCGGTCAACGGGCCTCAGCACGCCCAAACCCTAGAAAAAGGTAAAACCGCACCACGAAAGCAACTTTGAATGATTCAAAAATACGTGGCAGGGTTGGCGAAAGCGTGGATAATGACTGACCTCGGTGATACGACACTACCTTGATGTCTGGACACGTGTCGACTAGGTCAGCAACAAAAGGCCGTTTCAGGCTCTTGGCTTTAGCCACGAAGTTAGGAATGACCTTCACCGGTTCCGCCTCCCCTCCAAAGCCTATCTTGCACGTGGCTCCTCCATTGTCCAAGACAACCACTCGGCCCTTTTCCATTGTTACACGGGCGGGAGTCGCGGAAACATCTATGGGCTAGCAGCGAAGCCCCTGCGTCCTGAATCCAAATGGCGTTGCTGATGGTTTTCGAAATGGCGAGCTGTACCGTTGCAGAGGCTGCTTTTATTGAAGAGGCGATTATTGATTACCTATGTGTCAGATCATATTGATCGACCGGGTAAGTGCTATAACGACGATCTCTCAATCGCGTAAAAAATGGCTCAAGTTCCTCGCGAAGCCGCGTTCTCAGCACATGGCATCAGGCCGACGTGGACGTTGACACCTGCATCTTCAGGAAAGCCACCAACCGAACCTCCGCCAGATTCAGGCCCCCTAGATGTGGCAGGCAGCTCTACTGCAATCGCGAAGCGAACGCAATCCAAAAAATTCTCACCGATTGGCCACAAGCAATTTTGTGCTTCGCGTGACGCTGACGCAGCATTGTTTCAGAACACCCTTGAAGTTGACCGACCGACATCGTGATCTGCGCAAAGGGATGTCATTTTCGGGATGGCTGCTCGGTTCTGCTATTTTCTGATCGTGTTTTCTCGGTTGTGTATCCTATTTGGCATGATGTACCTCGAATCTGCTGGAGAGGAGTCTTGTTCATCAGCTATCTCCACAGGATTCATATCTCAATAGACATTCCTGAACCTGGAATTGGCCTTCATCCCATTCCTCACTTCTCACTCAATTTGCGAGTTCAATTTCAAGCTTTCGAACTAGCTTCATACAGCAGATAGCCCTTGACCTCAGTCCTCCATTGGGCGATTTCCGGACTGAGGAGAATCCGCTAAGGCAAGATTTTGTATTTTTGTTGTTCTTGTTTGCCGCATTAATCGCGCATTGAACCCCTATTCGCGTCGCACCTTTACACTCAGTCCGACGGACCTTTAGCCATGGTGTGCGATAGCTGCATCGCCACAATGTCTCACGTTCGGACGATGACCGCAGCTACCACAACGCTTAGAGTACAACCACATCCCACCATCGCCGCTCGGCCACTCTTCAGTGTCTCCCCACTGAAATCCCTTCGGCACCAAAGGAATGCCACAGTTCGGCCGAACCAATCACGAATTGCAGCGGTCCGAGCGGATTCGTCAGCACCTGTCGATACAACCAATAAATCGTCGCCATCACCGATTGCATCAGCGCCTCCCAGTAGCGTGGCTACCAGCGTGCCGGGGATCGGAGGCGTGGCAGTAATGACGGACGCGACGGTTCCCGAGGGACACAAAGGGCTGCATGATTTCCTCTACGGCGAGGGAGGTACGTCTGAACTGATGCCATGTGAGGCTTCTCTATCGCCAGAGGCCGCATCACGGCTGGTAGTGAAACAGGAGTTGGCCACGTGGCGGTTCTGACGGACACGACGGTGCCGGAGGGACACACGGGGCTTCAAGATAAGTGAAGGCTCAAGTGGCAAAAACCGAAACCACGTTACTGTCTCTCGAGTCGTCTGCAGGGATAGCTCCAGTTCTTGTGGTAGGTTGGCCTACCCATACCCGCCAGGACGGCACGTGTAGCCATTTGGGAGGGAGTCACTTTAGGAAGAAGACCCCTTGAGGCCATCCCAGTCTCCACTTCCAACAACGTCATCTTCAATCTCCGACCCTCACTCCCCCCCCTCCCCAAGCACCTTCCCCCCCCTGCCCATGCCCCCTCTCTTCCCATCCGAACCCCATGCATCCCATCATACGTGCACGAGTCCACGTCATCCGCAGAAATCGTCTCAAAAGCCATCTCCATCCCTCCCCCCTCCTCCGAACCCCTCATTCGCCCCGCCAGACGTGCACGAGGCCACGTCATCCGCATACACGGCGCGGCCAGGCGAGGACGACGGCACGCTGCTGTCGCCGGTGCAGGACTACGTGGCGGCGCGCGAGCTGCAGAAGCTCGCCGGGATCTACGCCGTGTATGACGGCGCTGGCGCGCTGCAGTACGTGGGGTACTCGCGCAACATCGTCGTGTCGCTCAAGGTGAGGTCGCCTTCGGCCTCGCATGCGGGTAGAGAAATGACCGTTGGTGCTGCACCTGGGCAGGTGGGGAGCCCCAAAACAAACCTTAACATGTTTCCCTGTTCTTCCCCAACTTTCACCTCCTCCTCCCTTTCCCCCTGCCCTCCGCAGGGCCACAGGGTGGCAATGGGTGAGGAGCTGTGCAGATCAGTCAGGGTGCAGGTGTCTCGGGTGTGTTCTGAATCGACTCAAAACACACCTTAATCATTCTTCCTTTCCCGCTTCTCCCCGAACTCTCTCTTCCTCTCTCTTCTGCGCTCCTCTTCTCCCTACCCACCGCAGGGCCACAGGGCGGCTATGGGCGAGGAACTGTGTAGCTCTGTGAGGGTGCAGGTGTACCGGGCAGATTCACTGCTTTCCCGGGCAGTGCTGGACGGGGAGCGGAGGCGGTGGTTGCAGGAGCTCGGGCAGAGCGAAAGTTTCATGCAGACTAGCAGGTAAGCACGGATGCTCTTCTGGTTGATGCATCTCCCCGTTGGTTTCCCTTGATCACCCATTCCGAGTACCCTCCTCTTCTCCTCACCCTCTAAACTATCTTTGTGACGTGGCGCGTTCTACCCATCCAATCCCTCCACCTTCTTCAACAAATCTCTCGTCCGCCTTCTCTCCCTTTCTCCCGTCCCTCCCCCTTTTCCCCACTCTTCCCCCTAAGTTTCGCCTGGTGGGGGGCGCAGGGCGCGCAGGTGGGCGCAGCAGTCTATTTTCAATCGTCTCAAAATCATACTCCCCCCTTTTCCTCTCCTCCCCCTTCAGTTTTGCCCGGTGGGAGGCGCAGGGCGCGCAGGTGGGCGCGGCAGCAGCGGCGGCGGCGGAGGGGGGGGAGCTGAGCGATGGGGAGCGGGCGGAGCAGGAGGAGCGGCGGCTGAGGATGCGCAAGGCGATGGGGGAGAACCTGATGGACGATGAGGAGTACAGGCGGAGGGTGGAGGGCGGGGAGACGGACGGGGAGAGCGACAGGCGGAGGATGCAGCTGCTGCAGGTGAGGGAGGGTGGTTGGAGGGATGGAGAGATGGCGGAATGGGGAAATTGTGCGATAGCCAGCTGTTCTGCTCTTGGGGTGAGGTGGGGTTGCATGGGAGAATGAGAGCGAGGTTGTTGGGTGCATTTGGGTGAGATATGGGGGGAGGCAGAGGGGACGAGGGGGCAGAGAAGGAAGGATGCGCGTGGCGATGGGGGAGAACCTGATGGACGATGAGGAGTACAGGCGGCGGGGAGACGGACGGGGAGAGCGATAGGCGCCGGCTGCAGCTGCTGCATGTGAGGGGGGTTGGAGGGATGGAGGGATGGGGGAATGGAGTGGTGGGATGGAGGGATGGGGGGATGGAGTGGTGGGATGGAGGGATGGGGGGATGGAGTGGTGGGATGGAGGGATGGGGGGATGGAGTGGTGGGATGGAGGGATGGGGTGATGGAGTGGTGGGATGGAGGGATGGGGGAATGGAGTGGTGGGATGGAGGGATGGGGTGATGGAGTGGTGGGATGGAGGGATGGGGTGATGGAGTGGTGGGATGGAGGGATGGGGTGATGGAGTGGTGGGATGGAGGGATGGGGTGATGGAGTGGTGGGATGGAGGGATGGGGGAATGGAGTGGTGGGATGGAGGGATGGGGGGATGGAGTGGTGGGATGGAGGGATGGGGGAATGGAGTGGTGGGATGGAGGGATGGGGGGATGGAGTGGTGGGATGGAGGGACGCAGGAAAGGGTCGTGGTATGGATTGATGTGGGGATTTGGAAAGGGGAGTCGGATGGAGAGGGTGATACGCGGAGACTGCAGCTGCTGCAGTTGATGAGGGAGATCAAGGGAGAAAGTGGATTGGTGAAGTGACGGGGTGGTGGGTGTTAAAGCTCGCGGCCCAAATTGTTCAACCTTAGTAAGGTTGACCTTTGGGTGGTGGGAGAAGAAGTTGACTTGTTGGGAGTTGGGCTGTTTCCTTTCGCCCAGTTTCGCGCTAGACCCTTGGGGTTTTCGTTGACACGGCAAACCCCTGGGAGCAACCTGGGTTTGCTTCGAGAGTCCCAAATTGCAATCAACATATTGTTGTTCCCTGCTCTCCCATTCGACAAAAAAAAACTGGCCAATCAGATTGCATCTCACTTCTCGTAACCACCCTTCGCAACCCAAACAGCACTCAAAACATCACCCCCGTCAACCTTAGTAAGCTTGGCCAGCGCGCCCCGCAATTTGGGCCGCGAGCTTTAAGGTTAGAGAGGTTTTGAATATTAAAAGTAGAGGATAGGGACATGCGGGCGGCCTGGCAGTTCAGGGCAGTGCATGGCACGGAATGGTGTGGCATGGCATCATTTGTCCCGTCTGTGTCTGTTTTGACCGTTTTGCTGCTTATAGGCCACAGAGGGCGACGACTGGAGCTCTGTGATTGACGGGCAGACGCAAGAAACCGTTTCTGCTAGAGGAAGCTCTAATGGGAAGCCTTCCAGAGCAGCGAAAGGAGAGGCGAGAGGAGCCACGGCAACAGAAGCAGCAACAGCACAGCAAGGCAGCGGGGTAGCTGCACCCTCCGCTGCTCTCCGTTCGGCAGCACCCATTGTTAGCCCGTTTGCGCGCCCAGGTGCTGCAGGCACGGGGGCAGGTGGGGAAGCAGAGGAAGCGGAGGGGGAGATGGAGCTGACAGTTGAGTCGGCTGACCAGGTGCTGGATCGGGTGCGGCCGTACCTGGTGGCGGATGGCGGCAATGTGGAGGTGAAAGCCGTGGAGAATGGTGTTGTTATCCTGGAGCTGCAAGGTAGGAACACACGTGCATGTGCGCACATGCGATGCACACACTTACAGATACACACACACACACACACAGACGCGCGCGCGCGCACATGCACACACACACACACACACACACACACACACGCACGCACACACACACACACACACACACACACACACACACACACACACACATCCCAGCTCCGCAGCAATAATGAAGATGGTAATCAAGACGGCATTACAGGGTGCACTTGGAGCCGAATTACAAGACTTTGACCTGCATTTCCCGCCCCCCCCCTCCCGCACACCTTACTCTCCGAGGTGCATGTACCGCGAACCCAGCTCAGCTGAAATTATGAGGATAGTAATTAAGAGGGATTTGAGTGATCCGGTTTGAGCCGAGTCAGAAGTCCATTTCTGTATGCTTCCTTCCCTTGCACCTTTCTCCATCAGGTGCCTGCAACACAACACGTGCCCCAGCTAAGCAGCAACGATGAAGATGGGCATTGAGAGGGCCCATGTGCTTCATTCTTACAATATGCACTTTGAGCCGAATTCAGATGTCTTGCTCTGCATTCCCCCCTATCACCGCCTCAGGTGCGTGCAACACGTGCCCCAGCTCAGCAGCAACGATGAAGATGGGCATTGAGAGGGCCCTGCAGGACGCGTTTGGGGAGAAGCTCAAGGAGGTCATGCAGCTGGGTGGCGTTGACAACAGGCTCACCCTCGCTGTAAGAACACACACAAACCCTTGAGCATGCACCCTCGTTGTAAGCACACACACAAACCCTTGAGTACACACCCTCGCTGTAAGCACACACACATACCTTTGAGCACGCACCCTTGCTGTAAGCATGCATATGCACCCTTGCTGTAAGCAATTCCAGGTGGGTGTGCCATCCCTCCTCCTCGCTCTTATTTTCACCCGTTTTCCTTCTCCCCCTTGTGCACGTGGCAGTCTGAGGTAACGTTATAGCCAACTAAGAAAACATGCCTGTGCCTCTGTGCCCTTCCACCACCTGTCCCTCTGTCTTTGCATCCTTCCCCCCTCTCTCCCTTGTGCAGGCTGTGGAGAATCATCTCTCACAGGTTCTCCAAGCCACTCTGAGCAAGTAACGCATGTGTCAGCAGCCTGAGGTGATATTCTAAAAATCCTAGCCAACTCATTTTCATGTCTGTACTCTGTGACCTTCCGCCTTCTGTCCTGTCTGCCTTGGCATCCTTCCCCCTCCTCCCCCTCGTGCAGGCTGTGGAGAATCATCTCTCGCAGGTTCTCCAACCCACTCTGAGCAAGTACGGAGCGTCAGCATCTGCAGTCTCTCTTGATCTCGTGAAGGGTTTTTGCGAAGTGCGGTTCGAGGGGCCACCGCCGATGGCCATGGGAATTCAGGCTGCTTTGAAGGACAAGTTCCCTGAAATTCGGCTTGTCAAGTTGGTATCCTGACGCCATTGTCATGTTAGTACTCTCATACTGTATGAAACGTGCGGGTTTTTTTGCAATTGAATCTGTATAGATGTAAGGAATTTTCTCGATATTCCTTAGCGCGCCCTGCAACATCGTGTACAGCAGCAGCCGTTGTTCGCCCGTTACTGCTAACGGGGCTTCGCCGACTTTGCGCGCACTGTTTCACCAAACCTCGCACTGCTGGACCGGCCGTGTCGGCCTACGCTTCGGGACTAGCCCGAGCCTCGCCTCCAGCGTAGCACTAGCTAGCTCGCACGCACTGCGTTACCGTTTGCATGTTTCGCGTATAAATGTTCGCTCATGCCTTCGCTCACATTTTGTACTCGTTTGACACCTTAGGGTACATTCCGCTGTAGAATATGTCCCAATCGATGTGTCCCATTCGATTGAGACGCGTACGTACAGCATACGCTGCCAGGTGTCGGAATGACGCGCCGCCCGTGGTTGTCGCCGAATGTAGTTATCATTGGGTGGCGTGATTCACGGAACATTCGCCAGCTAATTGCAACACACCCCATCAATCGCACGCGGTGCCAAATGTCATCTCATGCAGCATGTATCTGGACAACATTTTGCGTGACCCTCTATCCCCGTCAACGCGTACTCAGCGTTGTGATTGGTCGAGACAACACAACCAGAATTATTGAGAGGGACGCGCACTCCCCCGCCATTGCGCCTTCCCCCAGTTCCAGTGCACCTCCCCCACAACTCCGGCTGCCTCTCAATCCCTTACGAGGTCAAGTTTGACGACAAGCTTTGAAGTACCAATCTATGATTTTCTCCCTGCCTCCGCTCCCTCTAGATCTAGATCTAGAAACCCTCTAGCCGCCAGCATGGCTCGTAAGCGTAAGGGGCAGGCCCTTAACGACTGCCCCAAGGATCTAAACGACATTCCGTACATCCGCTGGATGAACCAGCAGATCGCCAACGGGCGCCATCCTAGGGGATTATCCGCGCCGCCAGTGCTTGACGGCCAGGGATCCAGTGCACAGTCGCCCACAGCGGCCCCGTCACGTGTGCGCCGTCAGCCTGCAAGGACGGCAGCAATGCACCGGCCAGTCGTGGAGCAGGACGATGACGATGCTGACTACGACGACCGCGACGAAGGCCTCGACTCCGAAGACGAGGAGGAGGAACCAGACGACCTTGGAATGTAGCCCAGCGACGACGATGACGACGATGAGGACGCCGAGGAGGACGCCCCGGAGGAAGCACAGCCTGTCGCTCAGCCGCCAAGACGGAGCGCCACACGCGCACCAGGGTCTGATAAGGGCAAAGGCAAGGCGGCGCAACCTGCAGCACGCCCGGAGTCGCGGAAGAAACGGGCGGCAGCACCAGTCGAGCGGGGCTTATGGTCTGACAAGGAGAGCACCATTTTCGTCGCGGCGAAATGGTTCATGAAAGAGGAGCTCGAGCCTCTCAAGGGGAAGCAGAGGACGCAATACTGGACCCGGTTGCTCGCACACATCAAGGAGTCGAACCCCGGATGGTGCAGGGGAGTCAACGCACTGCAGAAGCAGTGGCGCAACTTGATGCTTCTTTGGCAGGAGTACAAGCGTGCCGACGGGGGGTCGGGCAATGGCTCGGTGGAGAAACCACCATGGTATCCGTACCTGGAACTGCAAAACCAAGACACCGCCGCAGCCGCACCGCATGCGGTGGACGGAGGCGGCGCGACTAACGTCAACGTGCCGGCCGGCATGGAGGTTCCAACTTCGTCCCAGCCAGGCACGTCAACCCCATGCTACATGGGTGTGTTCCTACTATTCGACGTTGTTTGGTTCGCATGTTTGCCATACAAGTCGTAGTTTTAAGCTGCCGTTATGATTATCAGCTAATATGCACGATACATGATCATCGTGTGCACGGACTAATCTAACCTACTATCTTCCCCGCTCCTCTGTCATAGCTCCACTGCCGACGACCACTGCCACACCCAGGCGCGCCCGGGTGCATGAGACGGCTACCATGCAAGCGTGTCAGAATGTTATAATTGTCTAGCCTACAGTGGGGTACTCTATAGCGAGTACAACCCAATTAGGGTTTCCTATATGTATGCCAACTGCTGCTAGTGCAACCCCTCTCTCTTCTTCATTCCTCATTTCTTCACAAAGCGGCCATGCTGGTCTCCGCCACCATCAAGGACTGCCACGGTGATGCGATGACCTGCATTGAGAGCCTCGTCCATGAATGGATGGCGCAAGACATGCGACTTGCCCGCGAGCGCATGACTGAATCGGCTCCCCCGGATGTGCACCGTGCGCCGCTGGATTTCTCCCCTCCTCCGCCACGCGGGGAGTCCGCGCCACCTCCCAAAGCCGCACAGCCGCGAGAAGATGTGGGCGACGTCAACACCGTCACTCCGGTTGTTGAGGATGTGGAGATATGGGTGCGCGGCGCCGACGATTAGCGTAAGAGTCCTGGAGTGCCTCACCCAGTCGTTTCCGCCTCTCCCTCAGTGCTTGTTGTGTTGGGGGAACAGACGGTTCCCACTTGTGTGTCGCAATAGCACCCCGCGTCCACCATGGATCGCAGTTGCGGGGAAGGTTCTCCCAGGCCATGTTCTTGCACCTTACCTCTTGCATCTCTTCACACATGTTGTGCAGGATCACACAACACGCGGCCCCAGTGAGAATGCGCCACAACCTGCAGTCGTTGCGCTGGGCGAAGATGCGCCATCTCCCTTTGAAGGCGCCGATGCACCTCTCCACCGCCATGCGTGTGGCGCTCTAACAGTAGTTGAAACATTGTGCCCAGTCGTCCATGAGGTCCTCTCCGCGTGGGGCATGCAGGGGTGTTAGGTAGTATTCTCGTAGAGGGTAGGCCGCGTCACCAACAATCTGGTATGGGGCTATGTCCCCGTTGTGTAACCTCTCCAGTAGTGCAGCCTCTTTGAAAACCCGCATGTCGTGCGCGCTGCCGGGATAGCCGATTAGGTAGTCCCATATCCTGCCTTGTGCATCACATGTGAGCTGGAGTTGTAAGGCATAGGCCGACTTCCTTGTCCAGTACTCCGCTCTGTGCCCTTCCATCCCTTTTCATGTGGATATGAGTCCCGTCCACAGCCCCCACCACTGCAGGTACACCTTTGATGGCTGCAAATTCACGCGCCATCTCGGGAAGCTCTTCGCCTGTGGGGAAGCGCACCCAGGCGGCCTTGAAGACGGAGGGGAACTCGGTGAGGAACACGTCGACAAGCTCGTGGCAGAGTGTCTTGGAGACACCGAACAGGTACGACATGTCGACGTAGGAAATTCCTGACGCCAGGTACTTGATAAAGATGAGCACCGCGGTGTCCATTGTGAGCATTGACCAGTGTACGATGGGCTCTAGATAGTGTTGCATCCCAGTCTTGATATGCTCAAATATGGCGCGGTTTATCCTGAAAAGGTCCTGGAAGTCGTTCTCCCGCATGTGCTGCAGGTCTTCAACCCACAAAGCATGACGTCGCCGCCGTACTCTCGCTCTGTGACGGCTGTCAACAAATATAGTGGCAAAGAACAATATATTCTGTTGCTTGCTAGAATGGGTGTAGAAGGGTGTAGGTTGGGGTTATGCCATTCGGGTGTAGGGGATTCCTTGGGCCAGGGGAATGACGCGAAGTTGTTGGCATGGGGAATTGGGGGCATTGGGAAAAGTGACAAGGCGCCTCGAGGGACAGGAAATCTACATTGACCAGTAAGGGCACAAGGCGACCCGAACCCAACTCAAGGTGATGGCAATTGCCAAAACTCAGAGTGGGAATAAAGTAGCCTAGCCTAGCCAATTGAGCCTGTTCTCTCGCTTTGTTTGCCTCATAGAGTGGATTGAAGTTGCCGGTTTAAGCTAACTCCAGCTAGGTAGCTCTAAGCCACTGTGGGCAGCCATGGGGTGGGAGCACGATTCTCACATAAAGCGAGAGAAGTTGGCCGGCGACATGGATCGCCACGATCTGCACATGCAGCGGACGTACGCGCGGCGGGAGCAATCTCCGTCGCGGATGAGGCGCTCCAGGGAGCGTGGGAGATCGCCGACGCGCTCGTCCCGTCGGGCGGCGTATCGCGCGGATCCGGTGACGCCAACGGGCGGGCGACGAGAAGGAAGCAGGGAGGATGTAAGCGTCAGATCGGAGCCTTGGAGGCGTCCCACAACGAGCAACCCGTGGAACCTGGCCGGAGGCCAGCACGGAGGGGATGGAAGGCGCCAAGCCGAAGACATGGACGTGGATCCGGCGGGCAAGCAGGGTGAAGAGGAAGGACGAGAAGATACCCTGCTTGCACCGGGCGGCGGAAGGAATGTCAACGCCAACGACGAAGGTTCCCCCACTGCGCGGGGCGGCGGAAGGCATGTCAACGCCAACGACGAAGGTTCCCCCACTGCGCGGGGCGGCGGAAGGCATGTCAACGCCAACGACGAAGGTTCCCCCACTGCGCGGGGCGGCGGAAGGCATGTCAACGCCGACGGCGAAGGTTCCCCCACTGCGCGGGGCGGCGGAAGGCATGTCAACGCCGACGGCGAAGGTTCCCCCACTGCGCGGGGCGGCGGAAGGCATGTCAACGCCGACGACGAAGGTTCCCCCACTGCGCGGGGCGGCGGAAGGCATGACAACACCGACGACGAAGGTTCCCCCACTGCGCGGGGCGGCGGAAGGCATGACAACACCGACGACGAAGGTTCCCCCACTGCGCGGGGCGGCGGAAGGCATGTCGACGCCGACGACGAAGGTTCCCCCACTGCGCGGGGCGGCGGAAGGCGTGTCAACGCCGATGACGAAGGTTCCCCCACCGCACGGGGCGGCGGGAGGCGCATCAGCGCCGACGACGAGGTTTTCACCACTGCACGGGGCGGCGGAAGGCGCAGCAATGTCAACGACGAAGGTTCCCCCACCGCGTGGGGCGGCGGGAGGCGCGTCAACGCCAACGACGAAGCTTCTCCCACTGCGCGGGGCGGCGAGAGGCGCAGCAATGTTGACGAAGGAGATTTCCCAGCTGCTCGGAGAGAGGGGAAACGAGGGGACGCCGGAAAGAGAGAGCAGGAGCAGAGCCAAGGAAAGAAGATGCAGGAGTATTACAAGGGAGGCGAGACGGAAGAAGGCTCACCTATGAGGCGGCGAGGGGAAGGTGCGCCGCGAGGGAGGGTCCAAGGTGCTGGACATCAGTACAAGGCGCAGGCGGAGGGCGGAAGAGATCAAGAGGCAGCACCAGGTGCATTTCGTTCGCCGAAACCAACGCTAGGGTACAATCGCCAGCGACGCATGGCGATGGGTGAAGGGAGGAGGCCGAGTCCACAGCGACAGCACGGACGGGAAGAGTATGTGGGGCGACGCTAGAGAAGCCCACCTACATGAGAGCGGAGGTATGCCGAGGAAGGAAGGGGCAGGGATGGGGGCCGGCAGTCACAGTATTGTTCGAGGGCGGAGGAGAAGAGATGGGTGAGGAGAGAGCAAGAAAGGCGGCACCCGGGGCGTTCGCCCGCGGGGAGGGACAGGATATGGACGGAGGGGTGCAGAGAAAACCTTGAGAGGGACAGGAGGAGGAGCCCCAGTCCTATAGGGCCAAGGAGGCAATACAGAGAAGAATCGGCTGGAGCAAGAGCGGCGCGCGAAGGGTTGGAGCGAGTGCTGTACGGGACCAGCACGGGGAGCAAGGGAGAAGGAGGGAAGCAGAGAAGAGGCACACCTGTAGAGCAAGGAGACTCAGGAAACTGGGAGACAGGCAGGTGGGGCACGGCAGCACCGCCAAGAGTGGAGGTGTCGGTACGCTTCACAGGGAGCGAAAGCACGGGTCCAAGCCTCAAGAATTACTTGATGCAGATAAGCAATGTCAAATACAGATGTGACAGGAGTGGGATGGACCCCATTGACTTTTTCCTAAGCTTGCCACACACGCTAGGGGGAGAAGCAGAGACATTATACCGCATGAAGATTAGGGAGTGGCTGAGGAGGGCAGAAGAGGACGGCGAGGATCCAACCCTGCTGTTTTTGGAGCGGCTAAGGAAGCAGTTTCCCGGGCATACAGCCGCGCGTATCAAGGAGTTCCAGGAGTTTAAACGGAAGGATGAGGAGTCGTTACTGACATACTATGGGAGATTGATGAATCTGGCGGAGGACGTGGTGTGCACGGACCACAGCATGATCATTAGCAAGTTCTTGAATGGGTTGGATAAAGGGCTGGCAGGAGGACTGAGGATGAGGGTCTACGAATTAGGAGCTGACGCAACGCCGGAAGAAGTATTTGAGCTGGCGGAGAGAGTGGAGCTGGCGCAGAGGAAGTATGAGGTGTACCTGCCGAGGCCGACAGAGAAGAGGAATCCCGCGTGGGCTGCAGCAATGATACATGAGACAGGAGGAAGGGAGGAGAGTCGGCAGGAGAGAGGGGCTGAGACACGCACCTGCCACAGATGCAAGCAACCAGGGCACTTGGCGAGGAACTGCAGGAATCGCGACACGTGTGGGAAGCCGGGACACAGGCGCAAGGACTGCCCGGATGCGCCAACCTGCGAGGTTTGCGGGAGGCGGGGGCACAAGGGGAAGGACTGCTACCAACGTACGGGAGGGCCGAAGAGGACGCCAGAGGAGATTGAGAGCCAGATAGGGAGATTGCAGGCACAGCTGCAGGCATTAGGAGGGAAGAAGGAGAAGGAGGCAGGGTTATATGCACGAGAGGAGGATGACGAAGCAGAGGTGATAGAGGAGCCAGAGTCGGAGTACAATTTTATGGTGCTACGCAGCCGAGAGGAGTTGGGCCTGCGCAGCGGGGGCAAAGATGGGAGAAAGGAACACATAGTCAAGGAGAAGGGCGGGCCAAGGCGGGAACCAGAGGAGGACTGTGGGGAGGAGGAACCAGCCAGGCATCCCAAGGAGCGGCTAGCCAGTCAGGCGACAGTGCTGATGGCAGGAGCAGGGACAGTGGCAGTAGGAGGGGAAATGGCAAGAACCGCAATCTTAGACACGGGGGCACAGAGTGTGATGTTGGGGAAGCGGCTAGCAGAGAAGCTGGGGTTGACAGGGCCAGGGCAGCACATAAAGAGGGGAATGCTGGTCATGACAGCAGAAGGGGGTGAACCTAAGTGGTTGCCGTGCACCAAGAATCTAGTGGAGATTGTCCTGATGCCAGGGAGGGAGGAGCAGACCAGCATAAGGCTGCAGTGTGGGATCTCGGACTCAGAAGACTTTGATGTGTTGCTAGGCACGGACTTGATTTGGGGCGTGGGGATGACCATTTGCACATGGAAAGAAAAGGTGAAGTTTCGGAAGCAGTATTGGGTGCAGGGGAGCAAGACAGGAGAGTCGCCAGTGTCATTCGTGAAGCAGGAGCCGAAGAGAGCGTACACGGCTGAGCAGACGGGGACAAAGGGGAGAGGTAGAGCAGGACTCGTGGGCAGAGCAGCAGCGGCCAACGCGTGGCAGGAGCCAATAAAGCTAGTAGAACTGTTTGGGGGAATCGGAGCAGGGTTAGCGGCACTGCTCAAGGCAGGGGTGGCAGTGAAGGAGTGGATATATGTGGAGAGTAACGAGAAAGTGAGGAAGATGGCAGAACATCATGCGAGAAAGCTGCAGCAGGAGTATCCTGAGTTACTGGATGAGGCAGTGATAGAGAAGGCCATGCAGGGGAGCCTGACCGATGTAAGAAGCATCACGCGGGAGATAGTAAGAGGTTGGGGGCATGTGGACCTGTTGGTGGCAGGATGGGAGTGTCAAGCCGTGTCGAGAGCAGGAAAAGGTAAGGGGCTGAGCGATCCAAGAGGCGCGCTGCTTGTGAACTTGCTGTGCATCATAGATTGGATTAAAGAGGGACAAGAAAAAGTGGTGTACCTGCTGGAGCACCTGGATTTGGAAGGGGATTGCAGGGAGCCGGTGAGGAAGGTACAGGAGTTGGTGACAAGGAAGCTAGGGAAAGGGGTGAGATGTGATGCGGCTAGGCTGGGGGCACGGGCGCATCGTGTCCGACGGTACTGGCAGAATATTGTGGCAGATGAGCAACTGCAGCAGGAACTGGACGGGATACGAAGGGATTGGGGCAGGACGGCGAGAGAGATTTTAGAACCGGGAAGGACAGCAGCGCCTGTCAGGAAGGGCAGGCATGAAACACAGTGCCCGTGCAACAAAGTGGGGGCAGAGCGGAGGGCCTGGCCGACCTTAGTGGGATACGAGGGAGCAGCAGGGTTCAGAGAGGAAGACGGGATGCCAGGGGAAGGCATGGTGTACGACAGCACGATGAAGAAATGGGAGGAGCCGACTGCGTTGGAAAGGGAATTGGCAATGGGGTACGGAGAGGAGGTAACAAAGGCAGTAGGGGTGACGGAAAGGGAGAGGAGGAGGGCATTAGGACAAGCCATGGACGGCCAGGTTATGCTGTGGCTAGTGCGGCGGATGTGGAGAGGGTTAGTGCTGGAAGAGGAAAAAGAGCAAGGGAGTGAGGGGACAAGGGTGAAACAGGTGGGGGCATGGGCATGCATGGCAGCCGAGGAAGAGCCAAAGTGGGTTGTGGGGAATGCAATGAGTGAGAAAGGAAAGGAGGCAATGCAGGAGGTGCTGGCAAGGTACAGGCACGCCTTCGCCTTCACCTTACAGGAGCTGGGGAAGTGTTCTGTAAAGGAGATGGAGTTAAGGCTGGTGACGGACGAGCCGGTGTTCCAAAGGAAGCGGAGGATGACACCTGGAGATGAGGACATTTGCAAGGAAAAATGCATGGAGCTGATAGAAGCACGGCTGATACAGAGATCAGAATCAGAGTACGCGACACCTACTGTGGTAGCTGCCCGTAAGGACCTGCTAGGGGAAGTGCTGAGCAGACGCATGTGTGGGGACTATCGAGCACTGAACAAAGTGACAGTGCCCGACAGGTACCCAATGCCCACAGCGGAGGATATCTTTGACCGACTGGGGGCAGGGGAGATCTTCAGCACACTAGACTTGAGACAGGGGTTCAACCAGATCAGGATAAGGAAAGAGGACGTGCGCAAGACGGCGTTCCATGGGGAAGATGGCTTGTACGAGTGGCTATTCATGCCGTTTGGGCTGAGAAATGCGTCGGCCATCTTTCAGAGAGTGATGGATAGCGTGCTGAGGGGACTGGAGTGTGCGGCATGTTATATAGACGATGTAGTGATTTTCAGCAGAACGGAGGACGAGCACGTGAGAGATGTGGAGCAGACACTGAAGGCGTTAGCAGCAGCTGGGCTAACATGCCATCCGAAGAAATGCAGGTGGGGAGAGGCGAATGTGCACTACCTGGGATATGAGGTCAGGGGCGGGCAGTTAGGAATTCAGCAGGCGAAGATTGAGGTCTTGAACAGGCTGCAGCAGCCAAAGGACAGGAGCGGACTGAGGGCGGTACTAGGATTCCTGAGCTATTACCGCAGGTTCGTCCCGAATTTCAGCAAGCGGGCCGCACCGCTGAACGGGTTGTTGAAGGAGGATAGGAAGTGGGAATGGGGGATGGAACAGGAAGCAGCGCTGAAGGACCTGATGGAGGCGGTACAGACGGCAACAATCCTGCAGTTACCTAGGGCCGATTAGCCCTTCTGCCTGTATACCGACTGGAGCAGTCAAGGCATGGGCGCCATCCTGTGTCAAGAATTGGACGGGGAAGAGAGAGTGGTGGCGTACGCAAGTAGGAGCTGCAGCCCAGCGGAAGCCAAGTACAGCTCCTACCACGGGGAGGGGTTGGCAGCCGTGTGGGCTGTGAAGCACTTCAGGGTATACTTGCAGGGGAGGGAGTTTACACTGATCACAGACCATCAGCCCCTGCAATGGTTGATGACACACCAAGGGCTGACAGGGAGGAATGCGCGTTGGGCCGTGACGCTGCAAGAATACGACTTTAAGATACGCCACAGGCCGGGGAAGACCCTGCAGCATGTGGACGGGCTCTCAAGGAACCCGCCGGCAGCAGAGCCAGTGCACACGCTGATGATGCTGGCGAGGCAAGGGGAGGAGGCAGCAGCAGGGAAGAAAAAGGGACCAAAGGACATTTGGGAAGATCCAGCAGCGTTGCGATGGATTAAAGGAGAAACCGATGAGGATGAGCAGGTCTCTGACAGGGTGAGGGCGAGGGGACACCATTACCGATGGTATCAGGGGCAGCTGCAGTTGCAGTCAGCGGACGGGTGGAAACTGATACCTGCACCACAGGAAAGGGAGGGACTGATTAAAGAAGTGCACAGGAAGCTGGGGCACTTTGGGCACGAGCGCACAACGGAACTGTTGAAGACAGGCTAGTGGTGGGAGGGAATGAGAAGGCAGGTCAGAGAATGGGTCAGTGGATGCGAAGGGTGTCAGAGGAGTAAGGCCAGTCTGACACAGGCGAAGCTGGAGCTGCAGTCACTCCCGATAAGAGGGATGGGGTTCAGGTGGTCTCTGGACATAGCTGGTGAGCTACCGCTGAGCAGGGGAGGCAAGCGGTATATACTGCTCATAGTGGAACACGCAAGCAAGTGGCTGGAGGTGTGTGCGTTGCCCAGCAAAGATTCCAGGCACGTGGCAAAAGCGTTCAAGGGACAGGTACTGTGCAGGTTTGGAGCACCAGGGGAAGTGCTTACTGATCAAGGGACGGAATTCAGGGGGGAATTTCAGGCACTGCTAGACGAGGCCAGGGTAACACACAGACTGACATCAAGGTATCACCCACAGAGCATGACGTCGCCGCCGTACTCTCGCTCCGTGACGGCTGTCAACAAATATAGTGGCAAAGAACAATATATTCTGTTGCTTGCTAGAATGGGTGTAGAAGGGTGTAGGTTGGGGTTATGCCATTCGGGTGTAGGGGATTCCTTGGGCCAGGGGAATGACGCGAAGTTGTTGGCATGGGGAATTGGGGGCATTGGGAAAAGTGACAAGGCGCCTCGAGGGACAGGAAATCTACATTGACCAGTAAGGGCACAAGGCGACCCGAACCCAACTCAAGGTGATGGCAATTGCCAAAACTCAGAGTGGGAATAAAGTAGCCTAGCCTAGCCAATTGAGCCTGTTCTCTCGCTTTGTTTGCCTCATAGAGTGGATTGAAGTTGCCGGTTTAAGCTAACTCCAGCTAGGTAGCTCTAAGCCACTGTGGGCAGCCATGGGGTGGGAGCACGATTCTCACTGGTAGTGGCTGAGGCAAAAGCACGCAGAGTCTGCAGGCAGGCAGGGAAGTACGGGAAGAACAGGAAGAAGAAGGGTAAGAAGTCAAGGGAGGAAGAAGCCAAGAGACGAGGTAAGGAAGAGGAGATCTCCGACACGGCGGTTCTCCCCGTAATCGTCCCCGAGTGATGAGGACTGCTCGTCCGCGTCCTCGAACACTCCCGACGCTATCAGGCCTACGAAGGACTTCGCGACATTTTCGTAGAAAATGGTGTAGTAGCAGGTGACCCAAGCGACGAGGAGGCGTAGGATGAAGGGGATGGCTCTAGGCTCTGCCATAGTGTGTGGATTATGAATGCGTAGTTATGTTGTCTGTGCGTTTTTGGATTATGCATACTCACTGCATAGGACAGGAGTAAGGAATGTACATGTCGTTTTGGCAATTATTGGTAGCGCGGATGTGTACTGTATCTTCCGCAGCCTCCCCATACATAACCAAGTCTCTTCCGCGGGTTTTGAGTGCGCCGGTGTTTGTGCTGCTGGAGTAGTAGTGTGCCAGAATGGACTCTGACCAATCACGGTGGGTCGCATATAATTGTCGCGCATATGAGCAGAGTCGCAATACATCGATCGATTGGGACATGCATAATCGAGAAATTTGAGCGCGACTCGGCAAAATTGTGATTGGGACACATCGATTGAGACACATTCCACAGCGGAATGTACCCTTAGTGCAATTCTCGCTACTTCGATTCATTGCACCCGTAACAATAGAACATGCTTGTATTAAAACGGTGTACTTTATTTATCTGATTACCTTTCTTGGGGCAGGAGGGAAATCCTTTCCTCCACCTCGTCACCCACTGGTCCAAAATGTTCTTTCCTGAATCAGTCCTAGAAGTTGGAGCATGTTACACCTGCCTGATTTTCAAGTATCCTGTAGCTAAGATCACTAACACCCCAACCGTATGATTACGGGTGGTCAAACAACATGTTTTTGGGGCACATCACGATCCTTGTTGGTGTACCATCTGCAAATTTGCAGTGGTGATCCTCTGCGACCAGGCGACGTCGCCTGAAACTACGTGACAGTCGCGATCACTTGATATTTCCATTGACCATGTTGACTGCGTTACTGACCCGAAATCAACAGCCTCATTGGTTCGAATTCCATCAAAAGAATGCTCTGATTAGTCGCGATATTGTTACAGCGGTTGGCGACACTTTTTTTTTGTCATCAAGGATCACCCTGTCTTTGGTACAAAGATGCAAGGATCACCGAGAGATTGGCAGTCACCATGATCTCTCAGAAAACACCAAGTTCGGGTAGCATAGAGAACTCGTGATTTCGATCCTTCCTCTGTTGGTACTGTCAGAGGTCCACTGGTGATCCCCGATTGATCCTAGGGAAGGGTTACAGGCACGTTGGCCTGGGGGGTTATGGGCGCACTTACCCGCTACACAAACAAGCCCTTTTATCCCAATGGTCTAGTGGTTGGGATTCTGACATGGTATCAGAGCGAAGGTCTCGGGTTCGAATCCCGGTGTGTGCACCTCGGGCATCCTAGTGCGGGGGGGTGTCAGAGGTCCACTAGTGATCCCCGATTGATCCTAGGGAAGGGTTACAGGCACGTTGGCCTGGGGGGTTATGGGCGCACTTACCCGCTACACAAACAAGCCCTTTTATCCCAATGGTCTAGTGGTTGGGATTCTGATAGGTACATCACCTGACATAGTGATTACTGTACATTGGTAGGTACGACACTGTTCCGTAAGGATCGAATACGTGATCCCCAAAAAGCAGCAATCTTTGCTTGGGTGTCACACGCTCTTACATTCGCTAAGAAGATCTGTGCCACTGGTTTGGGATTCCCACTTTCCGTCCTAGCAGCCGCGATTTGCCCTAGCAGCCGCGATTTGCCCGTAGCAGCGGAGATCCGCTAGCAGCATGCGCGATTTGCCCGTAGCAGCAGAGATCCGCTAGCAGCAGGTGGGATTAGCCCGTAGCAGCAGAGATCCGCTAGCAGCAGGCGCGATTAGCCCGTAGCAGCAGAGATTCGCTAGCAGCAGGCGCGATTAGCCCGTAGCAGCAGAGATCTGCTAGCAGCAGGCGCGATTAGCCCGTAGCAGCAGAGATCCGCTAGCAGCAGGCGCGATTTGCCCGTAGCAGTAGAGATTCGCTAGCAGCAGGCGCGTTTTTCCCGAAGCAGCAGCGATCCGCTAGCAGCAGGCGCGATTAGCGCGTAGCAGCAGCGATACGCTGGCAGCAGGCGCGATCTGCCCGTAGCAGCAGCGATCTGCTAGCAGCAGGCGCGAGATCCGTCCATAGTAGCGTGATATCCACTAGGAGCAGCGCGAGGCGCTCGCAGCAGTGAGCAATCCGCTAGCAACAGCGAGATTGGTTCGTAGCAGCGCGAAGTTCATAGGTGTCAGCGAGATCTGCCCATAGAAGCTTGAAATCCGCCAGCAGCAGCGAGACTCGTTCGCAGTAGCTGGAAATCCGTTGGCATTTAGCGCGATGTCGGCCCATACCATCGCAGGCCCCGAGTATCAGCGAGAAACTCGCTAGTAAGAGCGTGAACCGCCCGTAGCAGTAGGAAGCTCGCCCAAAGCACTGCAGGCTGCGAGTAGCAACAAGGAACTTGCTAGTAGAATTGTAAACCGCCGGTAGCATCAGGAACTCACCCACAACAGCGCAGGCCGCGAGTAGCAATGGAAAACGCGCTAGTAGCAGTGTGAACCGTCCGTAGGCTGGAGGCAACTCGCCCACAGCAGCGCAGACATCGAGTAGCAGTCAGAAACGATGCTAGTAGCAGCGTGAACCGTCGTCCGCTTTGAGCCATGGACGACGACCCAGACCCCGGTGACCCCGGGGTCGGGGAGAGGGGAGGACCTGACAGTGGGATGACAGGGACCAATACGAGCGAAGGGGGGGAATGTACGGCAGCACCCACTGAGACAACCCGCCTAGTGGCTGCCCATAAACGACGAGGAGGAGCTGCGGAAGGGCCCCAAGGTCCATAGTCGAATGCACAAGGAAGATGCTCTATGCCTCTTTGGCAAACCAGCCAAGAGGCCATGCCATGAAACCAACAATGCGGGGACTGTACAACCGATTCAGGACCCTCACAACAACCAGGCTAGCCGGAGCAGCGGCCCCGACCAGTTAGCCGACAACGGTGGGGGGGTGTCCCCAATCAACAAGGAGGGACAAACGAACGCGAACGAGGCACCCGAGGAAGTGAGGGCACTATGGGAGGCCCACCGTAGGCGCTTGCAGCTACAGCACGTCCACCGTAGCCGTGACCTCGCGAAAACGACCATACAGCGAAGCGCCAGAAGTCATGTGTCACCTCCTGTAGACGCCGACACTTTGCTGATAGGGCCTCGGCTGGCTCAACGGCAAGAGTGGAGGCGCCGCGAGGGAGGGGGGAGAGGAGGGCAATAGGGGTGGCTTGTAAGGGGCCAGCAAGGGCTGGAGGTTGGAGGGCAGCATGGGGTGCTGGCGAGGGGGCAACAAGAGCTGCAAGATGGAGGGCAGCAGCTGCCGCATGGCGGCGGGCAAGTGCAGCTACAGCACGGAGGTACAGCGAGGGCTGCCAGCGTGGGGGCGGTATCACGAGCTGACGAAGAAGGAACAGCGGTGGTTGGAGAAAGGGCAGCAGTGGTCGCAGAGGTGGCAGATGGGGCGGCGACCGCTGCACCAGACGAGGTTGCGACTGAAGTTAGGGACAGGGCTTTAGCACGGCCAGCAGGGGCGGTAGAGGCCACAGCTGGGGCAGAGGAGTCTGCTGCAGGAGCGGCAGAGACCGCAGACGGAGTGGCGCGGGCCGCAAGAGAGGCTGGCAGCGATTGGGACGCTGCAGTCCCACCACAGCCCCATGACGAGGTCCTCCCTGCCCCCCTTAGGCCCACTCCCATGCAGTCAGGAGCTTTAATAGAGGGGCAGGAGGAAACAGCAAGGACAGGGAATCCGGAGACTACACCCATCCACACCCCGCATCCACATACCCATCCACCCCCCCCAGGAGCACCCACCCTTTGCCCCCACCCTCACAGGCATTCTCGCGAATTAAGTGGGGCAGCCAAGGCCCGGGCTTTCCTAGAGGAGCCCTGCTCCCCGATTATCAACTCCCAGCCATTACTACCTCCACTTTCACCAGGTCCGCCCTCACCGGCAGATGTGCACATGTCCGAGGCGCTTGGGTCAGTCGCATCAACCCCCGTACCGACTCCCCTCCGCCCCGTACGCTACACAATTCCACAGCGCCGGATACTGGCACCTCATCCCACTGCTATGAACTTGCCCCTCCCCTACCATCCCCCATCATTATCATCATCACCACCCTCGCAGCCCTAGGCACCCCATGGTCACCACCGCCCTCTCCCAGCCCATCGACCCCCGCTTGCACCCACACAGGCCCACTGACCATCCCACAACCAGCACCGTTTGGTATCTACCACGCCACCGGCTCCCGCCACCTCGGGAGGTCCCACGGGTGGATGGAGGTCTCATGTTGAGCCATCACGCCACGCCAACATTCCCCCCCTTCCCCTCCTTCCAGGCCCCACTCTAACCGCCCCCCACAACAACCAGACCGCAACTCTCCAAGCCAACGCAGGTCGACGACGGAAGGGGAGAGCCAGAGGCGGGGAGGGCTTAAGTTCCACACCCCCACCTACGTTTCACCTGCAGCTCTACTTCCCGCCCCCTCTGCCCAACCTGCTCCAGGCGATCCTCACATGGGCTCATCACCCAGCAATCCCCCCCCAGATGAACCCTCGCCTTTGCAGGCACACGGTGGAGGTTTCACCGGCGCAATCCTTCCCCACCAACATCTGGTTGCCGCTCAGGATGACGCCCTCCCCACTAAAATGGAGGTAGTTGGAGTTGGGGTTGACAGAATGACGGGTGAGGATGAGGCTGCACTTATCTCTCATACCCCCCTTCCCACCACTGCGTGCAGCCCCACCCTGCTCCCGACAGCTCAGCTGAGAGGGCTGGAGGGTGAGTTAAGGCCGGTGCGACAACCACATGCAACCCAGCCACATGGGCCGGCGGTGCTTCACTTTTCTCTCACTGGACCAGGTCACCCTCCCTCCCTCACAGACCTGGAGGCGTCGAAGCCCTCATCGGGCTTGAGGGCGGCTGTATCTGACTTGCTGGCGATACGGAACACTGGCATACCCCTCCCTACTCCCACTCCCCCGGCCCCAGTGGTACACGCCCACGAAGCCCCCCTCATGGACCTCCCTCTTGCGGCCCCCATCCTACAGGAACCCTTCCACCCTTCTCCGATGGAGACCGATCTGATCTTTAGACCGTGCGCCTCTGACGCAGATGTAGGTGCACCACTCCTACCTGCCTCACCCCACCCATCCCCATCACCAGCCCCACCTATCACCACGGTAGATAGTTCCGAGGGCACGGCCACGGCCGACCCCACCGACACAGCGACGTCACCAGACGAGGTCGTGAGGTGCCCCACATGCCTGAGCTCCCTCGCGAAACGCCGAGCACTCCGACACCGCATGCCATTCTGCCACCCTGCCGACGCAGCTCGCAGGGCGCAGGCCCTCCGCGACAGGGCCTCAGCTCTACCTTCCCTAGTAGAGCCCCGAGCCCAGGGGATGCAGTTCACAGATGCACAGTGGCATTCGCTTGACTCCGTCCAGTGGTCGGAGTACTTTGCCCCGGAGCGCATTCATGCCCATCCTCTTCGACGTATCCCCCCGAGGGTCCTTGGTGGGTATCTAGACATCCTCTTCGCCATCTTAGCACGAGTCTCCCAGGATCCAGAGGCACCAGGCCCTACTCTCCTCTTGGCGGCGGCACCGACGCTCCTACTGGCTCCGACGACACCGCCAGAGCGTTCAAACACGGCCGCCATTGCAGCGCGCATCATCCGTTTTGGACGAGGTGAGTGGGACGAGCTCATCTCTGAGGCCCTACATCGACGTACTCCCCTTCCTCTACAAGCAGCATGGCACGCTCGCACCACCACTTTCTCCCCCACACTAGATGACCGTCGCATTGCCCGCTGCCTGCGTCTGGCGGCTTGCAATGAGACCTCGCGGGCCTGCGCGGCCCCGGAGTCGGCAGAGGCGGCACCTGACACGGAGAGTACGATGCAACGTCTGCGGAGCAAGCATCCCATCGCAGAGCGACCGACTCCAGATTGGCTACCGACCTTCTAGGATACTGCCCTTGTGCTCTCTATAGATCACCTCCGCCAAGCCATCTTCACAGCCCCGCGCGGGTCGTCCGGAGGACCGACAGGCTGGGTTGCCGAGCATCTTCGAGATACTTTCCTTGCCTTTCCTGAGAGCCTCCCTAGCCTGCTCGCCGTGTACCAGCTTTGGCTGCGAGGCTACTACGCCCCGGCAGCTCGGTCGCTATTGGCATAGTCCACCCTGGTCGCTCTCGCGAAACCGAACCTGGATGTGCGTCCTATCGCGATAGGTGAGGTTCTGATTCGCATCCTTTCTCGCGCAGTATGCTTGCAGCTGCGGGACCAGATGGCTAGAGTTTTTCTCGCGTCACAGCAGTTTGGGGTGGGCGTTACATGTGGGACAGAGGTCGTGGTTAGAGGCATTCGTCGCGCCCTGAATGACCACCCTGAATGGGTGGTTCTTCAGCTGGACGTGGCGAACGCCTTTAACTCGTTTCATCGAGACGCCATGTTCCAGGCCCTCTATACTAGTGCTTAGTTCCGCTGTCTTATCCCTTTCATTCGCCTTTTCTATAGGGCACCCTCCGATCTCCTTTACCGGGCGAATGGAGGGGTGACCACCATTCACTCGGAGCGCGGGACCCGTCAGGGCGACCCGCTCAGCCCGTTCCTGTATGCACTCACACAGCGCATGGCTCTACAGCCAGTTCTAGCTGAGGGCGATGTCCAGCTATAGTCATACGCACATGACACTTACGTGCTGGGCCCTCCTTCCAGGGTGCTACACCACTTCGCAGATATTGTGAGGCACTTGCGCGAGCTGGGCCTTGCGGTCCAGCCACACAAGTGTCTCGTCTACGGCAGGGATTTTGTGACTTCCAGGGAGGTGGAGGCATTCACGAGTCTGGAGATCGAGGTCGCTCGCAGAGGACTCACCGTCACGGGAGTGCCGGTGGGCTCTGACGCTTTTGTGGAGAGGAGCCTACCTGAGCGTATGGAGAGGATGGGGCGCGTGTTGCCGTGGCTTCCGAGACTGCGCCAGCCCCAGACAGCGGCCCGTCTACTTTCGGCATGCGTCAGCACGCGACCGCAGTATCTGGCGAGGACGGTCCCTCCGACCCCGGCTGTACATGCCAGTTTTGCACGGTGGGATGAGCGGTTGGGGGAGACCTTTCAGCAGCTTCTGGTGCCTGGGACTTGGACTTGCAGAGAGGACGTTCGTGAGGCTGCCCTGGACAAGATCTACCTCCCCATATGTCTAGGGGGTTTTGGCATCCGACGCATGGAGCGTATCGCCCCGGTGAGCTATGCGTGCTCTTGGGTACAGTGCGCGCCGATCCTTTGCTCCCTCCCAGTGTGCGGCGCGAGCTTCCGACAGAGCTTCGCATCAGATGATGTTGACCAGATCGATCGATCACTGCAGACGGCGCTGGAGGGCCTCCCACATGACATCCTCTCTCTCTTCCCCCCCTGGCACTCTTGTGTCTCTGCTTCCCCTGATTCTCTTTTCACATGAGTGAGTCGCGTCTTGGAGGCGCGGGCCTTGGAGTCAGTCCGGGCCCATCACACTAACCCCTTGCACCTTGCCAATTTGACATCCCTTCAGGGCGCAGGTGCAGGCGCGTGGTTGACGGCGGTGCCGTACGCAGACTCGCTGCGCATCCCAGAGGCGCAGTGGCAGGTGGCCTCAGCTTTCCATCTCGGCCTCCCTATCCCCCAACTAGCCCTCGCAGGTCGGTGTTCTTGTGGGCAGGCGATCGACGACCTGACGGTACCTCACCACGAGGTGCGGTGCTCCCGCTTCGGCGTCGCCACGGTCATCCACGACACCGTGAAATACATGCTTCGGGAATATGCTTCTGAGGTAAGTTTCGCGGTGAAGGTGGAGGACACCACTTTGATTCTGCATCTGGATGCAGCTAGAGCGCGACTGCAGGGACTCTCGGGGACGGGGGACGGGGTACCGGGACAGTCAGGGGCACCGTGGGGACAGCAACAGCAGCAGGGTGGGCTCGGTCGAGGGGCTGGTGGGCAGGAGGGCCGAGAGGGGCAGGATGGGCTGGCTAGTGGGGGAGAGGAGGGGGGACAGCAGCAGCAGCGGCAGCAGCAGCTAGGCCAGCAGGGGCAAGAGGGGCAGACCCGTAGGGGTGAGGAGAGGGGACAGCATGGACAGCAGCAGCGGGGCCAACAAGGGCAGGAGGGGCTGGCTAGTGGGGGAGAGGAGAGTGGACAGCAGCAGCAGCAGTCGCAGCGGCAGCAGCAGCAGCAGGGGCAGCGGCAGCAGGTTTGTAGGGGAGAGGAGAGAGGGCAAAAGCGGCAGCACCAGGAAGGTCAGCAGGGTCAACAGGGGCGGCAGCAGGAGGGTCAGCATGGGGAGCGGCGTGAGGGTCAGCAGGGGCAGCCTGGCTGGGAGGAGGAGAGGATACAGCAACAGCAGCGACGACAGTAGGAGGGCCAGCAGGGGTAGGAGGGGCAGGCCAGTATGGGAGAGGAGAGAGGACAGCAAGAGCAGCAGCAAGAGGGGCAGCAGCAAGAAGGTCAACAGGGGCGACAGCAGGAGGGTCAACGGGGCCAGGCTACTAGGGGAGAGGAGAGGGGACAGCAGCGGCAGCAGCAGCAGCAGCAGCAGCAACAGCAACAACATGGCCAGCAATGGCAGGAGGGGCAGGTTAGTGGGGGAGAGGAGAGAGGACAGCACAGCCAGCAACAGGAGGTTCAGCAGGGGCAGGAGAGGCTGGTGAGTGGGGTAGAGGAGAGGGGACAACAGGGGCAGCAGCGGGATGGCCAGCAAGGGCAGGTCGGGCTCCGGGTCCAGGGGGCGACCCAGCCCTTGGGTGCGAGCTGGTTCGGGGAGAGAGGGAGAGAGGAGGTGGCGGGGAACATGACTGCAGGAGCGCAGGGGTTAGGAGGGAAGGGTATGGAAGGGGGGGATAGGGCGAGGGTGCTGGGGGGTTTGGGGTTGGGGAGAGGGGATGGGAGGAGGCAGGTGGGTGGGGGAGAGGATAGAGAGGCAGAGACGACAAAGGAGGAGGCACAGAGGGACCAGGCACAGCAGCAGCCAGTACAACAGCAAAGGCAGGCTGGACGCACAGGCCGCATAGGGGCACCAGCCCGCATTCCAGATCTGACTTGCCGCGATATAGAAAAAACTTTGATGGTGTTGGTAGACGTCCCCATTGCAGATCCACAGCAACAGGGGAATACCGGGCTTAGACGAGTGGCCCCAGTGCAGATAGGTGTTGCAGCAGCCAGACGAGTGCAGGACAAGTTGCGGGATTGGGCACCGCATCTAGAGGGATTACAACCGCCGCCACACTTTTATGCTTGTGTAGTGGAGACGTTTGGGTTGCTCAGCGAGCCAATGAGGCAGTTTCTAGGGCTTTGTGCGCGGCGGATTGCACAACGGCGTAAAGACCTTAGGGGAGGGGGGGGGGGGGGGGGGGGGGGGATGACGGGTCAGCACGGATTTTCGAGACCGGACTCACTACACGACTTTCCGTGGCACTGCAGCGAGCACAGGCTCAGAGTATTATACAGCACGCGGTGCGGCAGTTGGGAGGGTCAGACGATGGGTGGATGCCCGCACCAGTCCCTATGGGTGCAGGACAGGGCAGTTGGCATCACATTACCGGCTGCTTTGAGAGCGTGGCAGATATGCAGTATATGTACGATGCATATGTGTAGGCGTTTAGCGTTTGTGCTTGAAAAGCTGTGTCCCGCGCTGTGGTGCGGGTTGCTGTGGTGTTTTGGTCCTTAGGTGTTTCCTCCTTTTAGTTTCTTCCTCTCTTCTTTTCCTCTTTCCACCTTTCCTTCGGCCCTTCTCTTCTTCTCAAGCTCTTCTCTCCTTATCACCCTTTCTTTGTTCCACCATCTCTACCGTACTCTAATACCCCTTATCTTAATTACCATGACTTTGTATCAAACTTAATCCATAATAACAAATGCAATCGTGCACTCGAGCCATGCCCTTCCATGACATAACTCGAGGTTTTGACACACGCAGAAGAAACGCCAAGGGCGTGTCAAGCGCGTACATTTACAACTCATCTGGCGCTACAGCTACCACTTTTTTCGAGATGTAGCCATGTTTTTACAATATTATTGGACACGAACTTCTACGATACGTACAACCAGTCACAGGCCACACGTGCGCCAAATCGTTAATATGACGCGAAAAGCACGTAACAAACCCCAAAATCAAACTTGCACGTGTCCGAGTTGCTACGATACCGGCTCAACGAAGTCAAGGACGATTTTCGCAAGAATCTGTGAGAGCTCGCCAAACCTTAGTTACAGAGTAGTGTTGTCGCCACTGTCGCCCAACTTGGTGTTAGATTTGTGCTGAGGGGCGAATCTTGTCTTCCTGCACCTTTTTGAACGCGAAACTAAAAGGCCACACCTGGCGGTACTATTTCTGCTCGTGATCCCAAATACGTTAAATCAATGTGAAAAACCCAAAGTGTACGCGCTGGACACGCCCTAAACCCTTAGCTTTCACACTTCGACGCGATAAACAGACACGCTGCTGGTGCAACTTGTGACACGACCCCTTCCAGTGGTTTCTGGAAGGAGAGCGCCCTTCGGGTCGGGAGCATTCATCGCGAATTTATTTTGTCCACCTATGGAAGAATGGAGCTGTTACTGTAGATATCGCTGACAACCACGATCACTCCGATTCAGTGGTCGCGGGCTCAGATTTTGGTCTTCTGCTGAAATGAGTGTAACACGTACTTTCTATTCACGACACACAGGGTAGGGGAGGGGATGACTCTGCGAGTCTGCTAGTTTGCCCCTCTTTTCACCGTTATTTTGCGTCGTGATTTGTTCCGCTGCTGTGCGCAGTGGTGGAAAAGAACCGTCTTTCACCACGTGGTCCATAATTTCTTGTACCCTGAACCCGCTTTCTCGTTCCCACAGAGCTGCTGTTTGGTGTACACATACACACAGAACGCCTCGGGGCCACCCCTCATCGAATGGGTATGTACAAGTACATACGGAACGGAAACTGGTTTCCTCCTTGGAGGTTTGTGTGTGTATGCACTGCACTGCACTGCTGTGCCTGCAATTCTTAACTGTGTGTGAAGATTGGATTGGATTTGTTTAGCGTTACCGCGTAATTGCGTCTGTGCATGACGTTGCTAGCGACGAGAACGTCCTCGAAGAGTTGAGTGCGGTGGACAAAGATCCGTCGGTCATCAGCAAGGAAAACCTTTCTAGGTTTTTCTACCAGTACACAGACACCTGAAATTCCTCAAAGCATCCACGACCCACAGTCAGATTTGGGCTTCTTATCGTAAATGTTTCTACCGATGAAGTTTTTTCTAAGAGACATATGAGCCAAAGAAAACAAGTGCAGCAGCCTTCGTCCTTGATGTTGACATGGGTTGTACATGGCATCCTTGATACAGCGCAGATTCTACACCTAGTCCGCGGTATTTTAACCACGTGAACTGTTTCGCTTCAAACACCCTTTGTTCGTTTTCTGGTAATAGGATGGGCACCCAGAGACTTCAAGGCTATTGTTTTGCAGCCAAAATCAATTCCTTATAAAGAAACTCACACTTAGTGCTCCTAAATAGAGGGCGGATCGGCATTGACCGGGTTTTGACTGCCATCGTCTCACAAAGGGTATGCTAGATTGTACCCTCATTAAATTTCAAGACTACTCTTATAAAAAAGTTTACCAAGGAGAAGTACCCTCGCGCGGTTAAGATAGCGGCGGTTAAAATACCGCGGACTAGGTGTAGGACGCCCATATGGCCATCGGCGTGATACAGTACACAAGCGCGTGAAAGCTACCGCGTTGGATAGGCTTGCCATCCTTTCCACTGTCGATAACTAACGGCATTCGACCGCGCCATCATCTTTCGGCTTAGGGTGCCGATCTGTGTACCAGTTGTCCCTTCTGTTGATCGTTGCACTGGCGAATTTCCCAGCATTAGGTGGTCAGCATAAATGTTGAATATTTTATGAAACCATGGTGTGTTTTCGATATAATCATTCTTATGGCTGTGAATGCCTGGTGGGCACACCACAAAATTACTTGCCGTATTGCCAAGGGGGCCTAGCTATCCAACAAGGACACCACTCACTCCGATCCTAGCTATGGGGCGATCCTGATAGAGGGCAGAATGCTGCAGGCCATCACATCCTTTTGGTAGTGTAGTACACTCCCAGAATAGCGAAATGTACGTACAGCGCACAGTGTCCGACAGAGTCATCTGAAATTTCTGAGAACTGGAAGGCACACTTATGAAATCCATGATTTGTACAAGAATGCCCTATCACGGATGGAAAGAACTGCATTTTGCATCAGTGCATTGTTTAGTTAAGTTTACGACACGCTGCTTATCACACTGAAGCACCCCAGCAGCAGCGAGAATCCATATCCACATGGCTCGTTTTCGGGCATCCCTCAGCAGAGCGTAGAATGCGAGCTGGTCCTTTAAGACGAGATCCCATCCCAACTGATTCTACACGTACAGAGCGGTGTACATCGCTGCATCTGCCTTTTTCCGATCTGAGCAAGCCCCCTCCTCTGCTCAGAAAGAGCCTGGATGCGCGCGCAACGTTCAATCACTCATGACGAGGCATTCCTTCTTTTCACAAAACTCCAAAACTCATCGAGGCTGAGGCACGGCGCCAAATCATGTCCCACTGTGAACAGTGCACCATCAACAGCGAACCCACCGGAATGCCTGCACTGGCCGGGTCTGAGTCAGCCTGTCTGTCCGACCAGGTCCCCCCTATCCTCTCGTCGGCTTGTTTCGTCTGGTCTCCCCCCCCAAGAACCAATACCCTTGCAAACCCACCTCATCAAGCCTCATCCACCCCGCCCCCTCCTCCCTCCCACACATCACAACAGAACGTTCACCCCTCCCTCGTCCAATCCATCTCTCCGTCCCTTTCCCTCATCCTCCTCTCTCCCATAGAGCAGAATCACCCCACTGGCATAGGAGCTCCTTCTGCAGCAAAATCCGTTGAAAATGTTGCTGGCTTTTGTTGAACTTGAAAGACGGAACCACAGCTTCATTTTCTCTGATAAGCTGATCCGCGAAATACGTATTTCGTCGCGGCCTGCAATCTGACTACCTCAACGAATCTCCGCGTGCGAGCGTGAAAATTCCGTAACACGAGTCAACAGAGAAGGTTCAAGCTGTTTGTTTACTAGGCAACCCGCCAGCGACCCTCCGAATCGGAGCTAGTGATGCTTGGAAGCGCCGAGGCCGGCGGAAATGCCGGCACGGAGGAGAAAGCCGCGTATCAGTGGAAAAAATACGGACAGAAATTTCTCGTCTCGCAGAACGCCAAAAGGTGATAAACTTATTATTGTGGAAAGTCGAGGTTTCACCAACTCCAGGATCGCCTTTAGGATGCCAGTCAATCTCACAGGTTGCAGAGATAATTATTTGGAATAACACCATGTCAAGACAACCCGCTGCGGCTTCCGCGACATTTCCCTCGCTACTCAGTAGCCTCGCGTCGTTCCTGTTCCTCCATCATCAAGCGTCTGTCCGCGGCCTGAGTCGCCAACTTTTTGCTAACAAACGCGCGGAACGTTGTGAAGTCATTTTGGCGGAAATTTTTCCTCCTTTCTGGTTTTGTCCCCACTGATCTACTGCCACACGTCACGACATGGCCGCCGGACCCACTCCCGGCGCCGGACGTACCGCCGACCTGGGTTCAAAGCTCGTGAGACTTCACGGCCCATCATTAAACCCGCCTCCACCGCTCCTGCTCTCCTCCATTTGCTCTTACTAACTAACTGCAGGTTCTACTACCACTGCGCGGAGCGCGACATTACCGGCTGTCCCGCGAAGCTCATAATCGACAAGGTCCCGAAAGAAGCGGCATCCTCCAAAAACGTACCCATCATCGTCCGGGCCGGCGACGGCAACGGTGACGGCGATGGCGGCGGCGGCGCCGCCCTAGGATCCAACTCGCCACCGTTAGTAGGCTCGCCGGCTGCGGCGGCGGCGGCGGCGGCGGCGGCAGCGGGTGACGAAGATGGCGCCGGGGAAGGTTGCGGCGGCAGCGGGACGGACTGGAGGGAGCACCAGGAGTTACTCGACGCGCTTCCGGTTCTCGAGCGGCGCGGCCGCACGCTCATGCCGCGGCGCGTGTGGTGCCGGGAGAAGCACAACCACCCGCCGCCGCAGCAGATCCAGCTCCCTGCGGCAGCGGGAACGGCGGCGGCAGCAGCGTCTCCGCCCCGCCCGCAGCTGCAGCCGCCCAAGCAGCAGCCGCCGCGGCCGCAGTCTGTGGCGCCGCCGCAGGGCCGAACTGAGAGCGCCGGCACTACTTTTGTGGACAGAAAGATGCTTAGTGACGGCGCGTTTCCTTCACCATTTGGGAGCAATGCTACTAATCCCACCACCAGTACTACTAATTGTACTCTTCCCAGCGGGAATCCCGTGATTCCAGGTCAAATGCCGCCTCTGCTGCTGGTAGGCGGTGGCAATGGTGAGTGCCGGATGATGGAGCAGCGGAAAGAAGATCCTGGGGTATTTAATTTCAACTTCCTGAAGGCATTGGGCAGTCAGCAGCAGCAGCAGCAGCAGCAGCAGCAGCAGCAGCAGCAGCAGCAGCAGCAGCAGCAGCAGCAGCAGCAGCAGCAGCAGCAAACGGTCATGGCGCCATCGCCATTCAAAACGCCTCTACAGAAATCCGCACTGCCGTTTGAGGGTCTTCTGAAGTCTCCGTTTGAAGCACTTCAGAAACCGCCGGTGGTGCCGGAAGGTCTACTGCAGCGCTTGCAATCACCGCTCTTTGGGAACTTCCAGAGGCCCTCGGTGCAGCAGCTGGGGGAGACAGACGCAAAGGATTCTTCTGTACCCGCGTTTGCCCTTGGTCTTGGCAGCTTCAATACTTTCACTCATCTTGGTGCGTGTGCCGCCACTGGTGCGGCCACTGGTGCTGCCTCTGGTGCTGCTGCTGCTGCTGCCTCTGGTGCTGCTGCTGCTGCTGCTGCTGCTGCTGCTGCTGCTGCTGCTGCTGCTGCTGCTGCTGCTGCTGCTGCTGCTGCTGCTGCTGCTGCTGCTGCTGCTGCTGCTGCTGCTGCTGCTGCTGCTGCTGCTGCTGCTGCTGCTGGGACAGCAGCCGCCATGCTGCCAGTGGCGCGGGACAGCAGCGCTGCAGCATCCTCCACCAGTGCCGCCTCTGGCAGCGGCAGTGGCGGCGGCAGTGGCTGCGGCGGCAATGGTGGCGGCGGCAGTGGCGGCAATAGCGGCGGTGGTGGCGGCGGCGGCAGCTGTCGGTCCTCCCGGCCGGGTCAGCCTGTAATCGCGCGCAAGAGATCTAAAACGACGATGGATATGTGCTACGCTGACGCCGCCGCTGCCGCTGCTTTTGCCGATGGCGCTGTTGCTGTCGCCACTGCTGCTGGTAATGTTGTTGCTCCCCGCCATGCTGCTGCTGCTGCTGCTGCTGCTGCTTCTGGAGGCAAGCGACCGTACCTGTTTCTCGACGCTAGCACGAGCAGCAACAGCTGGAGCCCTCGTACTCTCCGGGGTGAGGACTCGCCTCAGCCATTGCCTGTGGGAGCAGCAGCAGCAGCAGCAGCAGCAGCAGCGGCGGCGCCACTCAGATCTGACCGATTCTTGAGCCGACTCCAGAGCAGCCCGTGTGTTCCCCGGGCAGCAGACTTGCCGCTACGGACAGAATCCGGCGGGCTCAGATCGGATCCGTTTCTGAGCCGACTCACAAGCAGCCCGGGTGCTCCCCGGCGGTCTGCTGACGCGGCGGCTCTGCTGATGGGAGCAGCGAGCAGAGTGAGTCAAGGCGCTTTTGAGAATTCTCAAAAACACCCTGCAGCAAGCAGAGTGGACCAAGGCGGGATGCTGGTGGCCCGAGGGAGGGCGGACGGAGCAGCGAGCAGAGCGAGTCAGGGCGGGCGGGAGGGCTGTGGAGAGTCTGGGACGAACGTGATGAGCGGGCAGCGTGTGAGTGAGGAGGAATTTGGAGCGTTGCGGCTGAGCGTTGCGGCTGATGCTGCCTTTCCGTCGGCCGCGATTTCAGCGATTGCAGCAGCTGCGGCGGCGGCAGCTGCGGCCGCTGCCGCTGGTGGGGTTGGTGCTGGTGGTACTGGTACTAGCCCTAGCGCTGGTGCTGGTGGCCCTGGTGGCCCTGGTGGTGCTGGTGGTGTGCCTCTTGGATCAATGCATGCAGCCGCAGCCACACAGGCAGCTGCAATGATGATGCTCGGTAAGGCTTCAGGCGGATTGTCATTGTCAAGTGCGTCTGTGCAGCAAGGAGGACTTGGAGGAGGCGCAGTTGTAGCAGTAGGAGCTGGAGGGGGAGCAGGAGGGGGAGCAGGAGGAGGAGCAGGAGGAGGAGCAGGAGGAGGAGCAGGAGGAGGAGCAGGAGGGTTTCCCTTTAGTGATCGGATAAATCTGAACCTTGCTGCTAATGCTACAGCTGCCACTGGTGCTGCTGCTGGTGGTGCAGCAGCTGCTGCTGCTGAAGGGCCTGAATCTGCTTCGCTGAGGAGCAGTGAGAGGTGTAGCATGCTTCTGTCTTACCTTGCAGGGAATGATGTGGCGACAGCTGGAGTGTTGAGTAGTGGTGCTGTTCAGAGCCAGCTGGTTAGGCAGATGCAAGAGCAGGCGCAGCAGGTGCTGCTGCAGCAGCAGCAGCAGCAGCAGCAGCAGCAGCAGCAGCAGCAGCAGCAGCAGCAGCAGCAGCAGCAGCAGCAGCAGCAGCAGCAGCAGCAGCAGCAGCAGCAGCAGCATGTGCAGCAGCAGCAAGAGCTGCAGCATCATTTGCAGCTACAACTGCAGCAGCAGCAGTTGCAGCAACAAGTGCAGGGACAAATGCTTCAGCAGCATTTGCAGCAGCAGGTGCAGGAGAAATTGCAGCAACGCCTGAGGCAGCAAGCGCAGCAGCAACAACTGCAACAGCAAGCACAGCAACAACAACTGCAACAGCAAGCACAGCAGCAGCAGCAGCAGCAGCAGCAGCAGCAGCAGTTAGAGCAGTTTCAGGCGCAATACCTGCAATGGTACCGCCAGCAACAGGCCCAGCAGGAGAAACAGCAGCACCAGCAGCAGCAGCAGCAACAGCAACATCAAGAGCAGCAGCAGCAGCAGAAGCAGAAGCAGATAATGCCTTTCCTTCCAGGTCCTGACCTGCTCTCTGCAACAATGTTTCCCAACATCCGAGCGGCTTTACTCGGCCTCAACTCCCCAGCAGCAGCTTCCCCACTGGGTTCCGCACTCACCTCATCACCTGCCCTGCCTCCACCTACCCCAGTTGCTCCTCCCCCACAGACCAACCCACCTCGAGGCGAACTAGTGAATCTGAGTGTCAATCCGGCGGACTATGAGGCATACCAGGCCGTGGCCTCTGTTGTGCCCTCTGTTGTGCCTGCTGCTTCTTGCGTTCATGGGAGCTCACCAGCAGGTGCCACTGCTAACCCTGCTGCCTTGCTACCCATGACAACCGGTCAGCCTGCAACTGCAACGGCACTGGCCAGTATGGCAGGGGGCAGAGAAGGTGCTACTGGTGGGGGCAGCGAAGGTGCTTCTGGTGAAGGTAGAACTGACCCCGCCCAGTGGACTCCTCACCTGGCCTTGGAAAGTGCTCCTCCTGTCTCGTATGTTCACAGGGGAAGCGATAACCTGAAATTTGAGTCTGTTTCTCAGAGCACCAGGTCAGGGTTTGGGGTGGATGGAGGAGGTGAGGGTGTGAAGGTCACAGGGTCGGAGAGTGGGGGTATGGAGTTGGACCTGATTGGTCAGTTTGATGCAGCGGGTGCTAGCTGTAGACATGCCATTTCAGGCCCGCGATTCCCTTCCACAAAACTGCACTTGTAGTGTGCGGATTTTATCAGAAAATTGCAATGTTTTTAATGTACGGTACCGGTATACACTTTTTGGCCTCTTTTTGCCCAAGTGCTGTCAGCTAGTTTTGGTAAGTGGGGTTAATCCCTAGAGGGTACAGGTTTGGTACGTATCTCATCTGTATCCCCTCATTTTATAAATGTAAATGACTGAGATTGATGATACCAGCATGCATACATCGGATTTACATAAGAATACAAGGGAATACGAAAAGACCTAGACTAGCCATGTACTCTAAGGGGTACATTCCCTTTGCAGCGAATTCAAACCGTCCGGTGCAGGAACCCGTTCCGAACCTGTTCCCGCTCTTTTCACTTCAAATGTTCCTGCCTGCATCGGTCTTGGTCAGACGATTGCTGCGTCGCTTCGACTCTTCTGACTCCTCGACTTTGTACTCGGTAGAGTCGGCTCCTGCATAGGCCTCTGGTTAGGTTTTGAGCTTTTCTTTCACGTAAGGCCAACACTCCGCTTTCACCTTTTCTGTAAGGATGCACACAAAAACTACTCTTTCTAGTAAGGGTGCAAACATTATATATGTTTTTCTCATAATCTTAGGCATGACGAATGTCAAGGGGGGGTACAAGAAGAATGTCGAGAGGAATATTGTACCCCCTAGTGCTAACCCCCATATAGCCTAGACAACCTAAACATAACATATAAATATAACTTGACACACCCCCATAGGCGAAATGGGGGATAGCCAGAGCAAGCAAAGTCACAACACCAGTCAAGAGAAGAAACAAAACACAGCTCAGGGTGGATCACAAAGTCACCACACACACTGAGCACAAGCAAGAGGCCACAAGGCCAGTTCACATGCAGAGATGTATATGCAGCAATAGCACAGTGATCACTACCTAGCAAGAGCAAGCATGCAGGTATACATATATAGATCACAGTACAAGCAGAGTCTACAGCAAGTGTGGAAACGTAGGCACAAGACCCAACAAAGTACAAAAGCGCTGATGATCACCAGACGGAAGCGCCTTGGTGAATATATCAGCAGTGTTGGCCCGAGTGGCCACGTGAGCAAGACGAAGCTGACCCCGCTGCTGCAACTCTCGAGCTAGGAAGTAACGCAGAGCGATGTGCTTCGTTCTGTGCTCCAGTCTGTGCTCCTCACACAAGGCAATGGCGGCCTTGTTGTCGACGTACAGAACTGGAGGAGAACGAGGCCGCTCTCCCAGGTCGGTCAGCAAGTAGGTGAGCCAGCGTAACTCCTGTGCAGCCATGGCTGTGGCGTAGATCTCAGACTCACAACTGGAGCTGAGAAGTGAAGACGAGCGTGTAGAACGCCAAGAAACAGAGCCAGAGCCAAGGCTGAAGGTGTAACCCTGTGACGACCGCTGCGTAGCCTGGTCGTCAACCCAAGAAGCGTCTGAGTGCCCAGTGAGGACAACTGCGCTCCGCCCTCCAAGCACGAGCCCCATGCCCGATGTACTGCACAAGTAGCGTAGTACCCTCTTAGCGGCATCCATGTGCACCTTTCAGTGCCGACCAGGAGCCACGTAGCGAGCCATAAGGCCAAGAGGGTACGCAAGGTCAGGACGAGTGCAGGTCATCAGGTACATGAGGCACCCCACTAGCTCTGGGTAAGGACCACTCGGCTCTACGGACTCGTCCGAAGGTGGAGCTGAGAGCGAGTGACCTGTAGCCAGAGGAGTGGCCTGTGCCGAGGACCAGGTGAAGCCGAAGCGCTGAAGGACCTGCTGCACCATGTGTGACTGAGTCAGTGTGATGGTGCGGCGTGCTCTGTCCCGGGTGATCTACAAGCCAAGGTAACTGCGCAGCTCACCCAGGTCTGTGCACGTGTGTCTCTTCTGCAGCTCCGACTTCACCAGAGCGAGAGCCTTAGTGTCAGCAGTGGCAAAGACCAAGTCGTCGACGTACACGAGGATGTAGAACAGCGGCAGCGAATTGTCGGTGCGCAGAAACAGCGACGGGTCAGCAGTCAACGGAGCAAACCCAAGAGCAGAAAGTGTAGTCCTCAGTGTGTCGTGCCATTCACGTGGCGCCTGGCGGAGACTGTAGACCGGCCGCCGGAGGCTCCACTGGGTACCAGGAGGGAACGACCCAGTGAAGCCAGGAGGGCGGCGCAGCCAGATCTCCTCGTGCAAACTGCCCTGCAAGAAAGCTGTGCTGAAGTGAAGAGAATGAAGCTCGTAGTCACGCTGAGCGGCAACGTGCAGCAGTACCTGAAGAGTGGTCATCTTTGGGGTGGGGGAGAAGGTCTGAAAGAAGTCTACTCCCTCTCGTGCAACGTAACAAGCCTTGAAGACAGGCGGAGAACCTGGCAGCCGCTTCACCCTGAAAATCCACATGCCACTGACGATGTTCGCCCCAGGAGGGGGAACCTCGTCAACATAGGTGCCTCTGGACTTCCAGGATGCCATCTCTGCGTCCATGGCTGTCTGCCACTGAGAGGAGTACTCACCCGCGATCGCCTCAGCGTAAGAGCGCGGGGTCGGGATGTATGGAGCATCCGGGTCTCCCTCAGGGGCAAGCAGCATGGACACGAGATGAGGTGCAGCGGCTGCAAGACAATCGAGGTCCTCCTGCCTGTCCTCAAGGACGTCCGTGCCAAGAGCACACTCACCCCTGACGGACGGAGGACAGACAGACTCAGACTCAGCAACAAGACTAGCGGCGTAGTCTAGACGACAGGCAGCAGCAAAGTCAACAAGCTCAGCGACGAAGGCAGAGGCAGCAACAGACTCAAACGACGGGTCAGTGACAACTGTGGCTAGCAGACGCGTGACAGTAGAGTGAGCAGCACGGGTGCGGTCAGACTCAGGCTCAGGAACGGTAGGCAGAGAAGACGCAGGAGGGGACGGCAGGGGAACACGCTGCGGAGGAGAGGAAGGATGACGGACGACGAGGTGGGTGCCGGAGACAGTCGGCAGACGCGAACGAGGAACACAACGACTGGAACGACCAGGACGGACAGGCAAGACAGGATGCGACGCTGGCTCACGACGCTCAATAAGACTCCCTGTCCGCTCAGTGTAAGGAGAAGGAGCAGGCAGTGGTGAGCCAGGCTGTAACGGAAGACTAGTAGACGAAGGGAGACTAAGAACCTGGCGAAGCACAGAGTCAGGCGGTGGCTGAGACGACGGAGACGGAGGAGCAAAGAACAGGCGCGCCTGTGCAGTGCCACCAGCACCAGCAGCTCCAGTACCCCCAGCAGCTCCAGCACCTCCAGCAGCTCCAGAACCCTCAGCGCCAGCTCCTCCAGGACCAGCTCCACCAGCAGCAACACCGTCAGCACCGGCACCTCCAAACCCAGGGACTCCAGCCTCAGTGTCTCCAACAGCAGCACCTCCAGACCCAGTACCTCCAGTAGCAGCAACCTCAGGGACAACACCTCCAGCTGCGGCAGGTGCTGTGGACCCTGGTGTTGGAGCCACTGCTGGTGCTGAGGACTCGGGCGTTGGTGCTGAGGCTAGTACTGAGGACCTGGGCGTTGGAGCTGCTGCTGGTTCTGGTACTGCCGCTGGGGGTACAGGTGCTGTCCCTGCTGTGTCTGGAGTCGCCGCGCGCCCTCAGCCGTACTTCGTTCCGCTCCTTCAGCAGGTTCTTGGTCTCTCGCCTCCTCCTGGTCCTCCTCCCTTAGCGTGTTCACAGCCTGTCCCGTCACAGTTACAGTTGCAGCCGGCCTCCCCACTACCTGCTCCTTCTCCTTACATTGGTCCTACTGGCGGTCTTACTGAGCGTCGTCAGATGCTCCCAACTGACCAGCTCCAGGGCGACAGCTACGACGGCTACCGCCACAAACCCAATTCGCATACCACTCACGAAGCTGCTGGGGCGGGAGAGACTCGCGTGGATGTCGCTGGAGCTGCATCTGGCCACCGCCAGTAGTAGCAGTAGCAGTAGCAGTAGCCTAGCAGTACTAACAGAAGGAGCAGCAGTAGCAGCGCGGGCAGGGCACGCGCGGCAGGCAGGGAGGCAGGCAGGCAGACAGGCAGGCTGGCAGGCAGGCAGATGGCGCGGCAGCGCGCTAACAAGGCAGGTGCTTACCTGGCGGGAAGGGCAGGCGCTCGCCGGGCGAGCATGGCCGGCGCTCGGCGGGCGGCTGCACAGGGACCAGGGGCGGTGTCGCGGGTCCAGGGGCGGCGTCGCGGGGTCCAGGGGCGGCTGCACGGAGTTCAGGGGCGGCTGCACCAGGGGCGGCTGCACCAGGGGCCAGGGGCGGCTGCTCTGGGTCTAGGGGCGGCTGCACCAGGGGCGACTACTTCAGGGGCCAGGGGCGGCTGCTCTGGGTCCAGGGGCAGCTGCACCAGGGGCGGCTGCTTCATGGGCCAGGGGCGGCTGCTCTGGGTCCAGGGGCGGCTGCTCGAGGGTCCAGGGGCGGCTGCACAAGGGGCGGCTGCTTCAGGGGCCAGGGGCGGCTGCTCTGGGTCCAGGGGCGGCTGCTCGAGGGTCCAGGGGCGGCTGCACCAGGGGCAGCTGCTTCAGGGGCGGCTGCACTTGGTCCAGGGGCGGCTGCTCGAGGGTCCAGGGGCGGCTGCACCAGGGGCGGCTGTTTCAGGGGCCAGAGGCGGTTGCTCCAGGGGCGGTGTAGCTGGTGCAGGGCAGTAGCTTGCCGTACTCAAGGTCCTAAGGCGGCGCGCTAGGCAGCAGCAGGCCGCTCGCTGTCTAAGGCAGCGGGCTCGGCAGCAGCGGGCCGCGGAGGCAGGCACACGGGCAGGGCATGAGCGGCTGCGGGCTGCGCGCGGCTGCTGGCTGTGCACGGCTGCTAGCCGCGCGCGGCTGCTGATTGCGCGTGGCGACGAGCTGCGCGCGGCTGCAGGCTGTGTGCGGTGGTGGGCTGCGCGGGCGGGGCCTAAGCGGGCCGCGCTCGGGCGGCTTACGCAACGCGCGGGCCGGCGGCAGGCTGCGCGGGCGGCTGACGTGGCGGGCGGGGCCGAAAACAGGCTAAAAACGCGCCTAAACGGGCCGCGCGCGGGCTGCTTAAGTAGCGCGCGCGGGAA